CATATGTGTAGAGTAAAAATATCATACTTTACGCCGAAAAAGCGAAACTGAAAGTTAAATGCGTTAACTTCCGAAAACCATGTATAATCCAACGAAAATAAATAATTGGTAAATAACAGCTTTCTTGTATGCAAAGAAAAAAAAATTAAAAATGTTAAAAAAGAGATGTTGACACAAAATTACATAGCCCCTTCAATTCTGAAGATACTGCAAACGAACTGTACCTTAAAATTTTCATATCCCAGAAGCTAAAGTTCCCATGACGAATATTGCTATCGCTAGCGATTGCAAAAACCAACTTGTTTATTTTATAGTTTAATGTTGTTTGTTTGTTTGTTTTTTTTTTCTTTCATTTATTTATCCATTCTATTTTGTTGGCTGTGAATCAAAATCATTTGGCACGACAGTCAAATCAGTTGCTCAAAACCTCTCTCTGTTCTCATTTCTCAAAACTAGAAGTGTATTTTTATTTTATATTATATTTTCATTTTATCATTATCATCATCCATGAAATATAAAAAAACCATTAACAGCTCATTTACTTTTCTTTTTTCTTTTGATGGCCAAGTACTCAGCTAGGATTCGGTGTCAACTTTTTCCCCCAAAAATAAAATGCTAATTTTAAATCTGGGTGTGTCACAGATAAAGAAGTCAGGTGATTTTGATGAAAGAGTTAGGTAGGTGAAATTATTCAGGAAAATAGTGACTGGTGGTGACAATTAACATTATCACTAAGTTTTTTTTAACAGGATGAAACCTCAGAACCAATGGATCACTAGACAAGGTACGAATTTAAGCATTCCGGTACATGTTTCTTAACCAAAATTTCACGTAGAACACGATTCTCGCAACGAAAATTACTGAAACCAACTCCTAACGAAGATATTAACCTTTTCATTTCACATTGGTTACGAGGAATTTGAACTGCCCGCTCACAAGAAACTCAAAGCTCTACGTGAGTCAAATCGCGCACGACAACGGTCTCAGCAAGTTTCTTAATCGAGCAATATTCATTTCCCACCATGTGTTGTTCGAACTATAGGCAATTTGCTATAGCTGAGCCAAAGCGTCAAGATTGAGGTTGCCAGATTTTTACATCGCGCAGAGACTGTCATGATAACGTTTAGCGCGCGATGTGAATCACGTAGAGCATTGAGTTTTCATGAGCAGGTGGTTTGAATTTACGCATCAAGAATCATTAAATATCGTTGTGAGGAGTTGATTTCGATAATTTTCATTGTGCGCATCGTGCTCTACGTGAAATTTTGGTCACGGATCATATATCAGAGTGCTGAAATTCGTACCTTGTCTAGTGGTCCATTGTTTGGCGTCGGTTAATGTGTTCAAAGCTTCCCTCCCCCTTAGATACCATGTCGACGGTGAAACTACCATACCACATATCTCATTTGCGGTATTTAAAAATCTTCGCTCCCATTTTATTTTTGTGAAAGAGAACAAACCAATATTATTCTTTGAAGTTTTCACAGATTTTTCTTTGCACAGAGAGGAAAAATCTCGTAAGTTCTTAAGAGTTGACATTGAATAGTTTTCCATTTAAAAAAGAAATAATGACAGGAAGTCTGCGACGTTGCAAACCGAGATACATAGTCTGGTAGTTTCACAGTCAATGTATGATTTCAGCCTAGAATTTATCATGGTGACATTAAAGACTTTCTCCTGCACTCTATTGTTGCAAGATACACCAACCAACAGATATAGTGATATTAGAAATCGACGGTGAAACTCTTAAACCACAAATCTTGTTTCCAGTGTTTTAAAATCTCCGCTCCTATTTTATGTTATTAAAGGAGAACTATATACCACATCATTCCTTGAAGTTTTCACAGAATTTTCCTTGCATGGAAAAACAAATGAAGAACATTTTTTAAAATTAATGTCGAGTGATTTTCCATTTTTAAAACAAAGTAGGTAGGTACCTATGACAGGAAGTCTGCAACGTTATAAACCGAGATTCAAGGTTTGGCCTTTGGTAGTTTTATGATGAAGGTTTTAGAGGAAATGACCAACAAGAAAGAAAAAAAAAACATGAAATTTGAGAAATTATCCCTGATAGAGTTTACTTTCACCTTGAAAAAAAGAAAAGGGGGAAAAAGAGCCTTTAATGGGACTAATCAAAGGGTTTATCAAGTTCAGGTATAACAAGATGGAATTCCCTTGAGAGCTAATTAGGTAAGTCCTCTTGCGCCAAGGAGGTGAAGACTGCAGAGAGTTCCTATGAGTCCACTGTTGCGACTATTTTCAAAAATGCCCAAGGCGTGGTGAAAAGCATCTTATCATCTCTATCTCCAAGAATTAGTACTTTTTACCTATCAAAAATAAGGAACGCAGAGAGTTTTTTTGCTCTGCTGAAAAATCGAGATACAAGGTATGGTAGTTTCACCATCGATATGTTCTAGACACAGAACTGGGAATAAATAATTTTTGATGTATTAATTTCACAGCAAATGATTGAAACATGTGGACTATTTTTCCAGGCATTTATATAAAAAATCAGGCAGGCAATTAAATATAAAATTGCAATTCTTATTGAGACTCTGTCTCTGTTTAGCATTCAGAATGTGACTCAGAGCAATGCTGCCGTGCTAAGGAGAGACGCCGTAAGGCCTTCAGGCGTTACCATATTTCCTTCAAGAAAAATCAAATTTACTGAGAAGATGGTGAATATTTTTTCTCAATTTTTTCAGTCAATTTTTTTCACGATTTACTCTAAAATATCTGAAAATTTCAAGGAAAAATATGCATAACTTTCCTCAAAAATGCATGTTTTGTTGGGGGTTTGGCAATTGTCGAATGTTCATACGGCGTTTTTCCTTAGCAAGGCAGAATGAATCCCGAGCCAGACTGGGGCCCAGTTTGATTGAGTGGACAGCGCTGATGCTCGTTCACATTTCAAGTTCCGAAATTTTTCAATCAGTCTTTTCAGTGAAGTTCCCGAGTTTCCCTGACCTGATAGAATTGCCTAAAAATTCTTAGATTTTAAGACTTGGGGACATTCTATCTTTGATGTAAGTATATGGAAATGTTTAAAAAATACAAGAGGCATCACATTCGAAAATATTTTTTCTTGCACTTCAGAACTGTCAAATCACATCAAACAGATTGAGAGGGGTTAAAGAGGTACAATATGGCACAGAGAATATTTCCACAAAAAGCAAACTATTCAACGGATTCTCACTCATGCAGCACAGAGGAGCAATTCACACACACAAAAAAAGGAAGCAAGTGATTGAAAAGTAAGAAAAAATATTTAATTATGATCATCCAGACTAGGTACGCAACAGATTAATACAATTTGATTTACAATTGTACTTACAATTACGAGCTGTCTATCAATTTACAAAGGTACATCAAAGAAAAACATTTGAAAGTACTTGGTACTTTCAAGTTGACAAATATTTACATACTGCAGAAGGAGGTAGATAAACTTTAAAAAAAGCAACAAATTAAAAAGATCAACGGCTCAAATAAAACAATTTTACACAGGTGGGCATTTTAAAACAAGTCTCCAGAAAACCGTACGGTAAGGTATCTGAGTAAAATTACAGAAGAATTTCAAAGACTCGTCGATAAATTTTTTCACCTTCTCAATGTTTACTGCAATGCAAATACAATTCAGCCCACCTGATGTTCCCAATCTTCAATGTTTCAATAATTGAACCTCTATAAAAGAAATAAAAATAGGGTAACTTAAAATACAAAAATTTCATCATTACGAAAAGTTTCTACATTGAAATAAACAACAGAATGACCTAAAAGCAGCCAGGTATGTTTTTCTAAAATTTTTCATCATCGATAATTCGGTAATGTTGTCTAAAGTATCAAAGTTTACTACACAGACAAGGGGCACAGCACACATAAATGAAGGCAGTGGCAAAGAATTTTTGCAAGGTTGTAGAACAGTGACTCTTTTGCAAGGTTGTAGAACAGTGACTCTTTTGCAACATATAAAAAAACTAAAAGGGTCATTAATAAGTTAAAAAAACCATTTCTAAATTGGACCAATCAAAAGCTGATATCCAAGTGGACACGGCAAGATGACGTCTCTGAGTTCAGCCAAATAGCAAACTCTGTTTCTCCCACCTGCAGGCCGCTTATTGAAATTTTGTGTTTGTCAGGGGGATATAGATGACATAGATTAAAAGGCGGAGCGTGATTGGTCGGCTATGTCTTATCGCTGCTCTGTCGTGCCTATGTCGGGTTGAACTCACGACAAGCTATCGGTACCTTTTAAGTTTCCGACAGTATGTCGTCCATTCCACCTGACAAAGGCACGACAAAGTAGCGATATGACATAGCCGACCAATCACGCCTTGCCATTTAACTCATGTCATCTATGTCCACCCGACAAACACTAAGTTTCAATAATCGGCCCGCTGGCTGTGTCATCAGCGCCCGGAAAAATCTGGTTTGAAACGAATCTCATTTTTGGAGTTTTCAAAACGAAGTTGCTTTGCCACTCAGGGTTTAAAAAATCTGAAAAAATTATTGGAAGCTAAGCCACTTTTTACTTTCAGAAAATAATAATAAAAAAAAGAGTGCCACTGAGGCATTTATGGAGATAATTATGTCGGGAAAGAGTGTTAAATCATATTAATTTTTTGAGATCTAGTAATATATAGTACTGAGCACACCATAAGGGAGGAAGATTGGAAAAATTAAGGCAGACAAGCGGCAACAAATCGGTAATGAATCGGTGCAAAATATTCTCAGCATGCAATTTAACAAAAATAAAAAAATGACATATTTTGATTGCTTTAAAGAAATATGACAGATTTTAGAGGTCTAAGCATGTCATGACTGAAGCCTCTATTTATCTTATGCACAGCTTTGTCTACATCAGAGCTCATGCTATTCTTGTTGGAACTGATCACATATGCTAAACAACAAAAGAAGTTTCAAACTGTAAGGGTCAATTAAACAATTTTGTCTGAGCATTCAAAAAATCATATGCAACCTTAGAATCAATTCTCGCACTGTTATTTTTTCCAGTTAGACTATTACTAACCCTTAATTCTAACGATTAATGGTAATTTGTTCTTAATTGTAAGCACAGAGTCTCCAAGTGCGAAGGTCTACTTGCTAGAATCACTACTGAGCAGTCTAAAAAAGGTGAGAAAATAATGAATGGGTCAGTTGCGCTTATGGTCACAAAATAGCGTTTTGATGCTTGATTCTTGTGGATTAGCAAAAATAATTAGATCTGTCCAAACCGCAACTTTCTATGTTCAATATTAACCGAGATATTGCCTTAGAAAAGTCAGGTTTTTGACGTCATCCACCGGGGTAGTGGCAACCTTGATTCTTCTACCTTGCTTTCATCCAAGTTTCACGTTGAATAAACAGTGCATCACTGACTGATGAAAGCAAGGTGGAAGAAATCAAGGGTGTCATAACCTGGGTGGATGACGTCAAAAACCTGACTTTTCAAAGGGCGATATCTCCGTTAAAAGTGAACGTAGAAAGTTACGATTAGGACGGATCTGATTATTTCTAGCTAATCTACAAGAATCAAGCATCAAAACACGATTCTGTGACCAGCGCAACTGACTCATTATAAAATTATCAACGATCAATTACGTAATGTTTCACTGCTTTAGAAAATTACAATCAAAGGATGGAACTTATAGTTCTGCAAAGAGTTATTCAGAGTCGATGAAGTGGATTCCTTCTTTCTCCGGTGGGTGGATCTTCCGTAGAAACGAGTCAATGTTCTGCTTATCCAGCAGATTTTTTGCTTCATGTTTATATTTCACAGGTAAGTCCTGAAAAATTAGATTAAATACAACAAATGATTGCTTGAACACACGCACAAACATAGTTGCAATGAATAACGTGACCTGTCAGCTGACTTTTGCAATTTATAGTTCAGCAGAAGTTTGTTTAAGTCTAGGCTAAATAAGCCTTGATTGGCCGTATGGGATTACTAGGGCTAGACTTTCCACAGTTCACCGATCGGACAAAGAGCTGGTTCGATGAGAGTGAAAGAGAAAGGAAAAAAGAAAAGAGCAGGGGTGCAAAAAAGAGAGAGGAAAGATGTGAAAAATAAGGCTCTGAATCCCTTTTCAAATTTTGGGAAGGGCAATGCTTTTGACTGAAAGGGCTGGATCCCCTAAACTTAACTTCTCAAATGTTGAGACTACAAATGTTTTAAATATTTTTCTTCTTCCTCCCATCTCTCTCATCCAATTTAATATTATTTTAAACCAAGACGCAGCTTGAGAAGAATATTGCAGTGCTAAGGAAAACGTTGTATGAATATTCGAGAGTTGCCAAATTTACCCAGAGAAAAAATATATTTTTGAAGAAAGTTATGCATATTTTCCTTTGAAATTTTCAGATATTTAAGACTGAATTGCGAACAAAACTATCTGAAAATTTGAAGAAAAATACTTCACAATTTTCCTGAAAAAATCGTTTTCCATTAAAGAAAATATGGCTGCATCTGAAGGCTCATACGGCGTTCATCCTTAGCACAGTAGTATAGGAGCTGCTGCTGTATTGGCATTCATCTACGGCTGGCTTCAGCTGACACCTAAAAAAGGGACATATTTGGGAGGAATTCATAAAAAGACCAGGGAAAGATTCCTGTGACAAATTTTTCAGCTCTCAAAAGCCGAGTGTATACAGCTGCAGGGAGAGAAAAAAATCCTTGACCTCTCCAGGTTTTCTCTAACTAAAATAATTAAAAGTCCCTGACTTACAATCAACAATTTGTACGCGTGTAACTGAAAGCGGGAATTTTGTGGCTTCAATTTCACTGCGATGACATCGGAATTTTACTGCTTCAATTGTTGATCATTTAGTATTGACTGAAAATGCAATTCCTTACAAAAATTATTCCTTTTTCACTATTCAGAGAACACTGAGCTCTAAATCTCAAACTAAACTTGAAAACTTCTTATTTTTTTATTGTGTGGGCAACGTTTATGTTGTGTTTTTCAGATTTAAAGTTTTAAGATTTTCAAATTTCTAGTCTTTTTCTTAGAATGCCTTGACTCTTCCCAGTGGGACGATTATTACAAGTTTAAAGCAGAGCAATAAGACTGCGAAACGCAATACATGACATGGTTAGCATAAGACTATGTCTAGTCTTTCCATATCAACATACATTCAATGATCAAGTGCAGGCCTAGTGGAATTCTTCGTTAATTCCTGGTTTTCCAGACCTTCAAAATTAATTGTAGCCTTGTTCTTTTCCAGCGATGAATAGTCAGCTAGAAATGAAAAAACATACCGAGGTGGAAGTATTTTCATCTGATGACTCCTCAATTTTCCTTCTCTTGGCCATAAGTTCCTTTATTTCCAGATCTTGCTGATCAGTTGCAGATCTGCTGTTAGGTTCCGCCCTGGGACAAAAAAAAACTTGAATGTATTAATTTATTTATTAAAGACCCTACATGGGAGTCTTTTGTAGGGTTAGAGCATGTCAAATTTTTTTTTGTAAATTTTAGATTTCACTTGCAAGGAAAAATTTTGAACAAAACAGAGCAGCCTCAAATTGACTGATGACCATGAGTAATAGTTAAGTAATTATGCTGTTCTATTTATTTTCCTCACATATCGAAGACCAAAGTGTGAAACCACATTTATCTGTTGCGATGTTCCAAAATTACCGCTATTATATTTTTCGATGAGAAAAAAGTCAATTTTACAGCTCAAAATTTATGTAGAATATTTAACTAAAAGAAAAGAAAAATCAAGAAAGTTTCTAAGATAATACATTCAATAGTTTCCCAAAGAAAATATAAAATATGACAGGAACTCTGCAACGTTGCAAAACAGAGATTCATCGTTTTGCACTTTGGCCATTGATATAAAAATCATCAATGAAGATTTTACAATAAAATTTTTTAGTTCAGATTATTGCAGAACACTCTTTAAACAGAGAAGAAAAATCATAAAAAATTTAAAAAAAGTTAAGTTGGTCCTTAAACTGATACAAAAACGTGTAGTGATTTTTATCATACAACTTTGAGAAACGAAGGCTTTGAAAAGAAAAATAAGGTATGCGCTAAAAACTTTTTTACAAGATTGCATCTAGATTTTTAATGCTGGAATATTGCTTAACAATCTTCTTGAAAAATTAGCAGAATTTCCTACGGTAAACAAAAAACATTCATGTTCTGATGAGTAAAATTCCTCAGTTACTTTTCCAGTTTACAGGATGCACTTTGGAGGGCTCAGGGCTACAAATTGTCATCGATGATCAAACAAATAAGGAAAGAAAGGAGATTGTTGATAATGGGAACCTACCAAAACATGTCGTAAACTTAAAAAGGGCATGAAACTCAGAATTTCATTCATGGTTTTTTTTAAAACACATAACGGTTGAAAATACAGCAAAAATTAAAATAAAGGAAGACTAATTTAAAGTCAAACTTTCATGCTGAATAGATTAGACATGTTGAAAATGTTTAAAATCAACTTGAAGGTGAGAAATTACCAAACTTTGGTTCTTTGGCGAGCAGAAAGTTAGAAATTTTAAACACAGAGAATGGTAATCCATCACATGAAAAATCGTACACGGGGTCAGTCATAAGTCAAATGAATAAAATTTTAAAAAATTTTAGAGCACTCAGGACTCACTTGCACTTAAAATTTTTCACTGGAGCACGCTTTGGAGCATATTAGGCCCTAAAATATGTACCAATAAATTTTTAAGAGCAAATTAGTACTCTAAGAAAATGTAAGATCTAATACCTCACAGGCCAAGAGAATTTTAACACTCTCAATCAGCCGCCATGCTCTAAGTTAAATGTCAATAGGAAACCTTCGTTGTGAAACTTAGTTTCTCATTCTATCTTGTGGTTCATTAAACTTATTGTTAAGCTAAAACTGGTTCTAAAATGCCGGCAAAAATAGAAAATGCTTATTATTTGTTGATTTTTTTTTTTTTTTTTTCATGCTGTTTATTCAAGAACCATGAAAGAATTTTGATATCCGGACTCACCCAAAATTTGACGAGACACTATCAGATGAAATCTGTCCATCCTCTAGGTCTGAGTCCTGCAATGAGCAACCAGAACCATCCTGTATATTTGAGGCGTCTGAAGTTCGATATTCATCAGGGCTCATTTTTTCTTCTTGCTGGCGCTGACTCTTTTTGAGTTTCCAAAACTTGACATAATCATCGTAAAGACCTTTCTCTTTAAGGCACATTATTACCTCTTGACTTAATCCTGCATTGGGGCTTAAATCAGTTCCCTTCGAATCTAAAGGAAGAGTAGTCTCCGTTTCATGGGTCACTTCTAACTTCTGCTGATGAGAAAAATCAGGACTCTGTGGAGAACGTTTGTGGTTTCCACTATTTCCAGATGATTTGGTTTCTCCAATATGTCTATCATGGTAATTCGAGTGTCTATCTCCATCCCGCGCTCTCTTTTTTGATGAAAGATGATGATCCTGTCCTTGATTTCTTTCTTGGATATCTTGATCTTTGAGGAATATAGGACTAGTAGAAACTTTATGTTTGCTTTGGCTGTGCATTTGAACTTCTTCTTCAGGAGACTGCCTTGCTCCTGAAGACTGATATTTACCGGATGAATCTCTGTGCTGGTGCTTGGAAGGTATAATTCTATAAGGACTCTTTCTTAATGGAAAGTAATTATCCTGTTCTCGATTTCTTTCTCGGCAATTCAAGCGAACTTCAAGCAAAGTAGAACTGTGACGAGCTGTACCTCTGCTTTTCTTATACGTATGAACTTCTTTGCAAGACAGTCTAGTTTCTGATGACGTAAATCTGCTTAAGGGATCTCTGTGTTGGTCACGTCGTTTGTTCAAATATACAGCTTCAGGAGACTGAGATCTTTGCGAGCAATTTGGTTTTTTTCTGTGCGTTTGCTGTCTCTCCAAAGATCTCTGTGATCTGGAGAATGATTCTGAGCTCCTCTTGTCCTTACTAGGGCTATTCTTATTACACAGATTTCTCTCTTCTGAGAATGTTACACGATGCCATTTTTTGCCAGTAGTGAATTTTGCACTTCCTTTTTGCAAAGCTTCTCGAACTGGGGATCGGCTCCTGTGTTTCAGCCTTTCATTAGGTCTAATTTGGGCAGGGTAGCTGTAGGGTAAAAATTTTTGTTTTTTCCATTTTTCTCTACCATGGGTGGGAAATTGATATTTGTATTTTCCATACTTACTTCCGGAGGACCTAGAACTTTGCAACTGACTACCTCTGTAGTGCTTTCTTTCTGGACAGAGTGATCTGTCACATTTATCAGATGACGGAAATCTTTGAGACTCAAATTTTTCTTTGCGATAATAACCTCTGTGGCACCCTTTTTCAGGACTGAGTGGTGTATCACATTTATCAGACGACAGAGATTTGTGGACCTGGTGTCTTTCTTCCCTATGATGATCTCTGTGATGCGATTTTTCTGGACTGAGTGGTGTATCACATTCATCAGACGACTGAGATTTTCGAGGGTGATGTCTTTCTTTGCTACGATGATCTCTATGGTGCCCTTTTTCTGGACTGAGTGGTGTGTCACATTTATTAGACGACAGAGATCTTTGAGGCTGATGTCTTTCTACACGATGATGATCTCTGTGGTGCGCTTCTTCTGGACTGAGTGGTGTATCACATTCATCAGAAGACCGAGATTTTTGACGCTGTTGTTTTCCTTTGCGATGATAATCACTGTGGTGCCTTTTTTCTGGACTAAGTGGTGTATCACATTTCTCAGACGACTGAGATAATTGAGGCTGGTGTCTTTCTTCCCGATGATGATCTCTGTGGTGTGCTTTTTCATGACTGAGTGGTCTATCACATTTATCAGGTGGTAGAGATTTTTGAGGCTGGTGTCTTTCTTCCTGATGATGATCTCTGTCGTGCCCTTTTTCTGGTCTGAAAGATCTATCGGACGAAGGAGATCTTTGAGACTGATGTTCTTCCTCCTGACGATCTGCATGGGGCCCTTTTTCTGAACAAAGTGAACTCTCAGAGGCATGCCTCATCGTAAGAATTTGAGTGGTTCTTTCTTCTCTTTCTTGGTTCGCTTCCTTTCCAGGAACATTTACAATCGTATCAGTTGTCATTTCATTGTGCACTGATGGGATACTGAGCAGTACAGACTCTTCAGTTATTGTATTCGTTGAAATATTTATCAGCCCTTCATCAATCTCATACTCAACAGAAAAACTATAGTTTTCCAGAAATTCTTTGTGGGCTTTGTGATCTACATTGCTTTTAAAAGGAAAAGAGTTTTCGTCACTTGAGATGTAAATGATATTTTGAAGGGACTCTTTTGGTGTGTATATGATACTTTCTTCTCTTTTGTTGATGTTGACAGATTGCTCTGAAACCTGACAGGTTTGCTGCGAGTTTTTCTGAGATGCGTAGATTACATTCGTCTGGTCTTGGTCTGATTCAGACTTATCGATAAATTTACCTGCATCAAGCAACAAATTATTGTTACTTCTATTGGGTGAAATAGACCTATGAATTGACGAATCAGCTTTTGCAAGTATTCCTGACTCTGCCTTCTGTAAGATGCTCAATAATTCTGGGGTGGAAAACGTTGCTACAGGAGAATTATCTTGAGTGGCCTGATTTTCAGTTGTTGCAGCAGCCAGCTCCGAAATGTTTGAGGAGGAGGATGGCAAAGTGGAACTGCCACTTTTTAGAACGTCTTCTTCAGCTAGGAAATTAAGTACGGGATTCTTTATGTCTGGTCTATGAAATGAGAATTTGGGTAGTAACTGACTGATTTCTAAATCTGTCCTGGAGAACTGTTGTCCTTCCATTTCTTTTTCTTTCACTGACAGTGGTCTTAGAGGAGATCGTTCTGGAGAGGGAAAGCTGGGGATTGCGCTGGCATTTGGCTTGCTGTTAGAGCTGGAATGTGCAGGAGATGCCATCATCGGTGAAATCTTCATGTTTTTCACACCGTCCAATTTTTTGGGGTTTAGTTTGGCTTTTGACGTTGTGCTAGTTTCAGGATAAGACTTTACAGAGCTGCATTTTGATTCTGTCTGCTGTTTTGGCTCCAGAGGCAGTTGCATTGTTCTTGATGCTCCCTGTATTGCACAGATTATATTCTTTGCATCTTGATCTGATTTGGACTTTTCGATAAATTTAGATACATCAAGAACCTTATCATATTTCTTACCTTTCTTTGATGTCTCTAGTTTATGAGGTGAGAGATTTGGTAACGATGGTCTGCTTTCTGTATCTGTCTTGCAAGATAAATTATCACCTTCTGTTTCCCTTTCTTTTGCAGCAAGTGGTCTAATGGGTGACAGTTCTGGAGGTGAAAAGCTCTTTGTTGGGCTGACGTTTGGTTTAGCGACAGAGCTAGAGGGTTCAGAAGATATTTTCACTGAAAAAATCTCCATGATTTTCTTTTCCTCGCATTTCTTAAGGCTTGGTTTGGCTTTTGACATTCCTCTGATTTTCCGGTTAGATTTTTCAGGGCTGCCTTTCGATTCCTCCATAGGCTGTCCGGTCTCTTTTGATTTTTCCTGCGATGCATTATTTTGGTCTAATTCTGACTTCTCAATAATTTTACCTTCGTCAAGCAACATACCATCATTCAAACTATTGGGTAGAATAAATCTGGGCATTTGAGCTTCAGTTTCTGAAATTTTTGCTGACTTGACCTTCTGCGAAATTTTTGATTGGCTGGCTTTTGAATTTGCCTCACGGAAGAATTTTTCTACCTCCATTTCCCTGTCTTTTGTCAACACTGGTTTAACAGGAGAGCATTCTAGAGATGAAAAACTCATTTTTGAGCTAGCGTTGAGCTCATTGATGGAGCAAGAAGGTGCAGGAGTTAACTTAACTGGAGAGATCGTTATGTTTTTCTTCTTGCTATCTTTTTTAGCGCTTAGTTTTACTTTTTGTATTGTGCTGCTTTTAAGATCAGATTTTATGGAGTTACTTTTTGATTTTGTCTCTTTTTTTGGCGGTGAAAACTGAGAGGTCTCTTTGATTTTTTCTTGTGATGCACCGATTGTATTCTCCTGGTCTTTATATGATTTGGACTTTTCAAAAAATTTACCTGCATCAAGCGACAAATCCTCATCAGTGCTATTGGGTAGAACAGACGTGAATAGTTGGAAATCTCTTTCTGAAATTTGATCTGACTTACCCTTTCGCAGAATTTTTGATTGAAAGACTTCTGAATCTGCCTCACAGGAGAGTTTTTCACCTTTGACTTTCCTTTTTCTTGCAGTCAGTGGTTTGAGAGGAGAGCGTTCTGGAGATGAAAAGCCCTTTGTCCTGGCATTTGGTTTATTGACGGAGTTAGAAGGTGCTGGAGATGTCTTTAAAGCAGAGTTCTGGATGTTTTTCTTTTGGCTGCGTGTCTTGGGGCTTGATATGGCTTTTGGCATTGTGCTGGTTTTAAGGTTAGATTTTTCAGAACTCATACTTGATTTGGTCTGCTTTTTTAGCTCCGCAGACTGACAGCCTTCTTTTGATTTTTCCTGTGATACTGAGATTGCCTTCTTCTGGTCTTGGTCTGGTTTTGACATTTTGATGAATTTACTTGCGTCAAGCAACATATCGATCCTATTGGATAAGACTGATTGACTGGAGGACTGGATGGACCTGGAAATATGGGTATTAGCTTCTGTAATTTTTTCTGACTTGGTTTCTACCGAAATTGTAGATAGTCTAACTTCTGAATCTGCATCACAGGGCTCATTGACAAAGCTGAAAGGTCTAGGAGATATTTTCACAGGAGAAATCTTGATGTTCTTCTTTCTGCCACGTTTTATGGGACTTATTTTAGCTTTGGGTACTGTGCTAATTTTAGGATTAGATTCCTGAGGCTGGCTTTTCAATTGCTTAGAAAGCTGGCAGGTCTCCTCTGATTTTTCTTGTGATACACCCGTTGTATTCTCCTGGTCTTGACGAGATTTGGACTTTTTGATAAATTTACCTACGTCAAGCAACTTATCATTACTTATCCTACTAGGCTGAATAGACTTGCAAACTTGGATCACTGGATTTTGGAGAAGTTTTTGATCAATTACTGAAATTGTTTCTGACGAGGCCTCCTGTAAAAGTTTCGATTGACTGACTTCCAAATTGGTCTCGCAGGAGAAACTTTCTTTTTCAATTTTCCTTTCTTTCGCTGACGATAGCCTACCTAGGATGCTCATTGTTTGGCTGACATTTGGCGCATTGACAGAGCTTGAGGGTTCAGGAGATATCTTCACTGGTGAGATCTCAATGTTTTTCTTTTGGCCGTGTTTCTTCGGGCTTACTTTGGCTTTTGACATTGTGCTGGTTTTAGAATTAGATTTTTTAGGGCTCCTTTTCGATTGAGTCTGCTTTTTTGGCGGCTCAGGTTCTTCGTAGTCACCTCGGAGCATGGCCCGAAGTTTGGAATCCCAGGACTCCTTCAACGGTGTTGATTCGACAGCGTTGACCAGCGATTTTGAGCAGCTAAGTAAATTAGAATCTTCATCACAGCTCTTAGAAGAGATTGACTTTGGGGAATTTACAATGAGTCCCAGTCCGTTAATTTTGTCCCAACCACCACTGAGTCTAGGCTGAGGAGACTTCGTTGCAATCGTAAACTTTGACTTTTCAGGTGGAGGAGGTGACTCTTGACAACTGAGAGATGATGCTTCTTTGACACAGCTTGGAGACATAATTGATCTGACAGGAGGCGGCGTGTTTGTGTTTAGCTTTACAGTATCGTGGTTCCCTGGATCAGGAGTGGTGGCCAAATACCATGATGTTTCCGGTGATTGAAAGAGCTCTGCTCGCCGAATACTTTTGAGGCGTTCACTGGGTGGTTCACTCGATTTTAGTGCTTTTGGTGACGTGTTGGCTTTTCGCTGAAAGGAGTCTTTGAAATTAGGAGGGGTGCCGAAGTCTAAAATGCGTACATGATTTGTCTTTCGTCGTGGAGTGCTTAAACTCTGTCGATGGTTGTTAGCGACTCGCAAGGGAGAGATTGCAGCAAATTCAATCTGTGATTCAGTCTTTGGGTTGATTTCATCGAGTACATCAGTATCAGTCATTTTTGGAGGAGAGTCTTCAGTTCGATTTTCAATGGACGCGACCGCACAATTGGGTGCAGAGTCAATTTTTGTGATGTCTTCTGCAGTTAGCATTTCAGGTAGGTTTGATGCAGACGTGAGTATGGGTTTAGGTCCACTTTTCAGCGGAGATTCTTCTTCAGCTCGATTTTCAATGGGTACGACGCCACAGTTGGGTGCAGACTCAGTCGATGTGGTGTCTTCTGCAGTTTCGATTTTGGGTAGGTTCGAAACAGACATAGATGTAGTTTCTTGCTTTGATGCAATTTCAACAGGAATACCTGAATCTTCCTTAGGTTTAGTCTGGCCTGGGTCTGAATCTGGTTTAGAAGGAGTTATTGAAGTATCAATTGAAATTAAGTTTGTACTTTTAACAGGTGTTTTTCTAGGCGTTGCACTTCTTTCATCGCCCACAAATGACATTGCTTCTACAAGTTGTCTGTATGATTCAGCAGCTGTGACATTTTTACTGCAGTCAGAGCTTGTCTCTGAACGAGCATCTTTTGCTGCATCAAGGACGCGGACCTCGACTACACGTGGTTTTTTAGGTTTTGCAGTTGCCTCTTTCTTTTTCTTAGCATTCGGGTGCGGTTCTTTGGGAGGTCTTGATCTCTTCTTTTGAACTGAAAAATATAACACGGTTTCATTTTTTATTGACATACCTACTTTAAAAATAATAGGGAAACAATTGCAAGAATCATGACAGCTGGATAGTTCCGATGCAGAAAAAATAACCACAAAAATCATATAATAGGCCCAAGACTGCCAGCTTCTCCGAAAAAAAATCTGAAGATTTCACAAAAATAATTATTATCTTTCCTTATTTCTAAAGATTGTGACTGTTTTTTTTTCAAAACCCTGCTTTAGGTTTTCAAATAAAATATGATTCTCCCATACGATAATATTACTTTTGATGTGTCTGTCCATGAAAGGAGGAACATTAAAACAAAAAATCTCAAAACAGGAATATCAAACAACTACTTGGAGAAAGTGTCTACTGCTTGTTTGTAGAAGGAATAAATGCTCATAAATAAACCTAACCAGACTTAAGGCTGTTTGAAGGTCAAAACGTAGTTTTGAGAGAAATTATTTGAAATTATTCCGATATGCAGAATTAAAGGTAGGAAATTGCCGGAATAAGATGGAACTACATGTGTAGCAGAATAAGAAAGAAGCACAATATTTACGTGAAAAAATCCAGTGTACAGACCAATAGGAATAAATACCTGGCTTTGCTGAGTTTGGATTAGTAGTCGGCATCCCAGTCAAAAAATTAGTAGAGCTAATTGACCCCGGGTTTGGTGCAATGTTGACAAATTCACTTTGAGTTCGAATCCCACTGAGATGTATCAGCCTTCTATGCTGTTCATTTGATACTGCACAAAACAAAAATTTTACGAGCTAAACGTACAATAATTGAGGAAAACTCAGATCAGATGTCGAATGACATACCTTAAAATATATAATAAAAACAATAAAGAACAAGAACTCAAGAGAGAATATTAAGTCTTACTTGGAATCACATATGACACAAGACTTGTCATGGCAGACAGTGTGCGAATTTGTCTGTTTTTTCTCTCTTTTTTTTGCAGCTGAAATAAGTACATATGAGACTGCTTTAACATCATCCTTCAACGAATTTGAAAAATTTCAAGATTATTTTACAAGTTTTTCTCTATTGTTATCTGTTAATCCTTTCTTTAACTTTCTTCATTAACCCATTTTTCAATTGTATTACTGTACTTTCAAATTTCATAGGAAACGAATCTTACTTCATTCCTAATAGTTTCATAGCTTTACTGGGTGCTGAGACTATTTGCATATCGACGATGTAAGTCGGCAATCACATAACTCGGTTTTCGACGTCGCAGACTTCCTGTCATACTTTATTTTTTAGACGGAAAACTACTCAACCGCTAACTTTAAAAACTGCCGTGATTTTTCTTCTCTCTGCGAAGAAAATTCTGCAAAAACTTCAAGGAATGATGTCAATTTGTTTTCCTTTGAAAAAATAACATACAGGCGGAGATTTTCAGACACCGCAAACGAGTTATGTGATTGCCGACTTACACCGTCGATATGGGTCTTTAAGAAGTGACGAAAGGCAAGTTTAACCACAAAGCGGGAACTTGAGTTCAAAGCGGAATATTCTCATGACATTTAAACATTTCTGCTCTTGATGGCACTGTCTCGCCAGGACTTGAGTGATGTTGTTTGGATGGTTTGTTCATAACGGCGGTGAAACTTCCGAACATCATATCTTGTTTATGATGTTTTAAAATCTCCCCTCCCATTTTATTTGTTCCAAGGAGAACAAATCAATGTGATTCCTTGAAGTTTTTAAAGAATTTTCTTTCTTATCAGAGAAAGGGTAGAGAGAAAATCACAGAAGTTTATGATAATTGACATTGGGTAATTTTCAATTTAAAAATAAAGTGTGATAGGAGGTCCGCAACATCACAAACCGAGGTAAAAAGATAGGAAATTTCACTGTTGATATGCTGCTGCTTGAGTTGGATTGCATTCACAGGTGCTAGTCCCCAAAAAATTCAAATTTTCATGAACTTCCTCAATACAGAGAAAAAAATCTGAGAAAAATATTAAATTTTCAGCAATTTAGTTGGTAAATGCTCTTGCGTCTAAAGTAAAGCTCCTCTTCAAAAATACAGACTCTGCATCATTCCTCCAGGAAGCAAGTAAGCTCCTGCTTAGAGAGGCCTCTCGTTGTTTTGATGAATTCCTTAGAAAAAATGATAAGAACAAAAATTCATGATGGCGTGCACCAGGATTTATAATTAAAATGCTATTGTATCAATATAGTAAGCTTCATGTTTTTTATGACTAATACCATAGCTTCTTGATCATTAGAACTTCTACAAAATTTGGTAAAAGAGAGTAAAATAAAAATAGTATTTAGAAAGTTTTCTAGCATGTCTCTTTCAGCCAACTTGATTGCCTAACACAGAAAAATTGACCGCAGATGTGAAAAATGTCAAAAAGGGCATAACAAACTACACAGATAGCAAGCTGAGGAGTAGATTTTAGACTTGTTTGATTCACCCATTTTCATGCGATATTACTGGCAGAGAGTCTATTCATTTGGCTGTATCTCTTCGGTGCAATAGCTCTATTGAATTACAGAGGAGAATCATGTGTAAAATTCTCTTGTGAACGCTAAAATGTATTCCCTATTAATTTTTAGACATTCTTTCCGAACCTTCACAGCTTCTTTCAGTGCACGGGTGCAGAAAATGCTTCAGCAAGTACACCCTGGCTCATACATGGCAAAAATGAATTTTTCAAAAATCCCCCTCCCATTTTTTTCCTTTGAATTCCCATCGGTGAAATATGAGAAAAAAATAGAAAGCACGACAATTTTTTTTTTTTTTTTTTAAAAAAAATTTTGCTGAACCGGTTCCTATGAATTTTTTGCAGGAACAAGAATTTATCCAAGAAAAAGGAAATTTTCAGCCTGAGATTAGGATTGACTTTTGCTCTAAAAACTTTCTGCGCCCCTGATTAAAGTAATCTTTGATTCAGGGTTTCCACAATTATTTCAGTTTTCAATTCTCTGACTATCTTTGCTTTTCCCGGACTCCAAAACGTTTGGTATCCCTGAGATTTGAAGAAAACTTTCGCTTGTATTATATTTCCTTTCAATTACACTCACTTCTGCTGAACATTACTTGCAAAATTCCCTGACTTTCCCCATTATTTCCCTGAATTTCCTTCGTTTTTCAAGTTTTCCAGACCACCAAAAACCCTGACAATGGCAGAACAGACAAGGTTTTAATCTTAAGAAAAGCTCACATGGTTCTTCAACCCCTCAGGTAGAAAACGATTCACACGATGGGAAGTTGGGAAATAAATTTCTGAAAGAGATATAAACAAGTAATTTTAACAAGGATCAAATGGAAGTTATATCATACAAATGACGTCATTTGTATTTTTGCCATTTAACTAATGTTGATATCATGTTTAGAAGTTGATTTCCAAGCTTCCTGTTGTATTATTCATTTTTTCGTGAATCTTCAAAGAGGAAACATGTTGTGTGATGCTTCAACTTATACCTTCTCAAGAGGCCCATTGCATGATTGAGAAATCTCTCCCTTCTTAACTATTAATAGCCTTGAATCAAACTTACTGATTTCCGAAGACACCGTTGAGCTCTCTTGTGCAAGAGCAAGACTCTGATCGATATCTTCACCAGAGATCCTTAACTCGGAGCCGAAAAGCGCAGACGTAGGATATAATTCTGTACTAGTTGGTATGAACGAGTAATACCCATCGGCTGTCTGCATCACTAGCTGTTGCGACTCAACCAGATTTGCAGCCTCTGCTAGAACAATGATACTTGACCCCACTCCCTGAGAATTTGTCACCTGCACCGGTTGCAGGCTTGACACCTGGAAAGGCGATATCCTCGATAATTCTACCGGCTGTGCACTGGACCCGGTCACCGCTACTGTTGATACCGTTAGAGGCTGGATGCTCGATACCTCTGCTGGTTTCATATTTGTCAGTTCTAGATCTAGAAGCTGCGGTGTTGAAGACTCAATAGGATGCGCTACGCAATCGACTGAGAGTTGTTCTGGCAAGTGGCTTGTGGGAATTTGCGAGGAGATTACACTTGCCGGTTGGATGGAGATTGTTTCTGGAATTTCCATGATATTTTCCGGTGGTTTTAGGAGTTCTCCAATTTCTGATGTCCTACAGGTCCTAGTGAGTGCTGCTGTCTTTTGTGGGCTGGAGATACTATTTGGACCTAGAACAGGGGAGTATCAGTCGCTTGAAAAATATTTCGACAAGTTCTGGACCTAAGTGAAAAAAAATGATCATATCGCTCCGTGGAAAGAATATAAAAAAATCATCATATCATTTGTTTTGTGACATTGACTTAGGCTGTTACTTCAGAGTTATTTTAAAGATTTTCCCTATTACATTTTATACACCAATACCTGAGATTTTGATGAGATGTGACTTTGAGGGACTTTTAGAAAAGTGCCCCAAAATTTAGACATTATCAATTGATAAATAAACTGTTGAACCATTCTTGAAAGTACTGTGAAGCAAGGGATATAATGTGCCCACTCTCACGATCTGTGGCCAACATGAGGAAGATCTTGAGTTGTGAGGTAAATTCCAAAGCTGATTATCTCTTTTTTTTCTCAATTCTCAATACTTCAAACAAAGGGGAAAATCATACTTTCTGCCTTAAAATCAGACATTTTCACGACTCAGAACTCAGCAAATAGTTGGAATTTTGGACATTTAAATGCTGGAAGCTGTGCATCTCGCTAAAGTCAGTAGATATCGATGGTGTAAGTCGGCAATCACATAACTCGGTGTGCGACGTCGCAGACTTCCTGTCATACTTTATTTTTTAAACGGAAAACTACTCAGTGGCAATTCTTTTAAACTGCCGTAATTTTTCTTCACTGTGCGAAGAAATTTCGGCAAAAACTTCAAGGAATGATGTCAACTTGTCCTCCTTTAAAAAAATAACATAGAGGCAGAGATTTTTGGACACCGCAAACAAGATATGTGATGGTGAACTTACGCTGTCGATATACAGTATTGTATCCTGAAAACGGAACTTGTTTAACAATCGAAAAATTCAACCAGGAAAATAAAGCAAATGGTTTCCTTCCTTTTTTGGCGATTCAATTCACAGGACCTGTCTGACTAAGCATGCAGCATTCCGATGCGTCTGCCTGAGCTGAACTTTCTTCCCCTAGGCCTGTGTCACGCTATCAAAATACTCCATCAAAATGTCAAGCTCAAGTGCTGTGACTGGTCCAAGTCATCAAATAAGCCAAACACAACACCTGACCTTGATATTTTGATGGCAACCTTTGATGGTGTGACGCAGGCTATACAGTCATGCGTTGAAACACATTATATCTCATTTTGCAGCTTCAATTCTAATTATTTGTTTTTTCTAATTCTGATATCCTTTAGAATAGTGTGGACCTAGCACTATTCTACCATCCTGCCACCCTTTCTGACGGATATTACTGGACCCATGAGTACAATTGAACCGACATATGCGAAAACATCCATTGTCCAATACAGGGTTTCATAATTGCGGTGGGTTTCTTTTGTTCCAAGACACAGATGAATAGTATTGATCTCTATTGTAAACGTTTAATTGGATTGCATTTTGCAAAAAGGAATCACTAGCATTGCAACGTTGCTAAGATTGTGCAACTTCTTTTGTCTTGGAGGAAAAACCCGATTATCCATTAATAGTTTCTATTTTACTCGCTAAAAACTGTAAATTTAAGACAAAAATTACCATCTAAATTTCATAGTTTTTCACAATTTCCGCAATTTTATTGCAAAAGATGAAGTTGCACAATCTTAGCATCATTGCAATGCTAGTGGTTCCTTTTTGCAAAAAGCAATCCAATTATACTTAGGGGATTATTTATAAAATTGTTCTACATTCCTAACGTCTTAAACCATCTTGTGTCGTTGTTACAACGAAATTGTCCACTCAAATTCTGAAACACTGTCTTGGACATCGAACGTTTGCGTAGACGTTGATTCAGTTTACAAACAGTTTCTGTTGAAACTTTTTTCCTTGTCCAAGAACAAGTCTTTATGAGAGATCAAAAGTAAGGCAGTTTCTTCCAAAATACAAAATATTGGTACATTACTATAACTTCTTGACTTACGCGATTACTGTGTTGTAAAAATAGAGCATTTTCATCTTAATCTAACAAATTTCTTGGCATAGCAAATAATTTTTGTTTTTTTATAAAAAAATTTTAAATTTTATAGGAAAACAATTGTTGGAATTCTATTACCTAAAGTATATATATTTAGTATTTTTTGAAGCAAAGAAGTTGTGCGATTTTGATAACATTGTAATCATGTTGGTTCCCCTCTGTTAAGTTCAATGCAATAACTTCAATTAAACTGATTTGATTTTCGATGAAAACTTACAAATTTCATCAATTTGGGCATTTTTTGATAACGGTTGTAAGTCTGCTGGGGGCAAAACATCATTTCCAAAGTCAACAGTGGGCAACACATCGCCATGAGCAAGATGAATTTCAGGAATTTTCCCTGTCTTTGGCATTTCCTGGGCTTTTGGCATATTTTTTGGAGAAGTAAGTGACGGAGTTGGTGTAGGTAATTGATCTGCAAAGAGAGTTAATTTTATTAGTGCAAAATATAAGACTTGGGTCAAACAGAGTGCAGAACGTTATTGAAGAATGCAGGGTTGCCACAGAGTTTGGGGAATGAAATTTCCTAACATTTCCCTGATTTCCCAGACACATTTTGGTGAAATTCCCTGACAATTGAAGATGAGACGGATGGTTGAGAAGGCATAATTGAAAATAGTTTTCGCAAAAATTTCTTGTTCAAAATATCATACCCATTTCAGGAAGCAAATGAAGGTGATTTAACAAATTTTTCCTGTCATTTTTGTCATTTCCCCCGACATTTCCCGGTTTTTCCGGACTTTTTAAAATTCCCTGACATTTCCCGGTTTTCCCGGACTTTTTAAAATTCCCTGACATTTCCCGGTTTTCCCTGACTGCGGCAACCCTGAGAATACCAAGCAGAGATACCCTGCAAAGGGTTGAACTTGAAGCAACACTGCATCAGCAAACCTAAAAAACAACACTTGAGGGCTTGTCTTTCAAATTTCGTAACCCTTGTTATCAGATGAATTTATTGAAAGACTCATTTTCATAAAATCCATGAATTATACAAACAGCTTCTTCTCGCTGAGAAAACGAAAATGGACAATCAAAAAATTTGACTACTCCAACTTTGAAAGCACTTCTATTGAAGTTAGAGACAAAGAGCACAGAAAAAAGAACTGACCTATGATTTCAGATAAGACATCGTCGAAAACGGAATCCTCGTCAACAAGCTGATTGACGAGTGATTTGATGGCAGTATCCAGTTGCTCACCGGCTGACTTTCCTACATCTTTGCTTTTTTCTTTACTCCTTGATCTCGGCTTATCCGGCAAATTCAATGCTTTGTTGATGTTTTTCGAGATTTTCGAACAAAGGTCAGGTTTATCTAGGAAGAGGTTGGTCAGGTTTGGCAGATTTGGCTTCTTGAAACGCTAGAAAGTAACAAAAAACCACACAATTAAAATTCTCACTTTGTTCATACTCTTGAGAAGGGTTGCACACTTTTTATTAATCATCAAATTTCATGATTTTCACAGTAAAAAGGGCATAACTGTGTTTTAAAATGAGCCTCATTAGGGACCAAAAAAATTGGGTTGTGCAAATGAATCCTTGTCGGTGAGCTATTGGTACACTTCTTTTTCAAAATACCGATATATCTACTCTAATGTGAACACTATTTTCAGAATCCACCAACTTTAAGGGAGCTGTGAGTTCCCCTAGTCAAACTATAAGAATTTTACAGTAAATCTATCTACTAGGTTATACAATACAAGAAAATTACACTGAAAAAATGGTATGACAAGGCTAAATGGACGTATTTCTGGTAAACGGGACTAAGCGCCAAATTGAGTTCCATTTGAGGATTTTAGAATCCCTGATAGCGCGTTCTGTCAAACGGAACTAAGCGCCATGAAAAAGCATTGCAAGTATAGGACGGAATGAGCATCGTGTTCCGCAACACCTGCCAATCAAAGCCCCCCTCTCACTTCCTCCCCCTATGGCGTTTAGTTCCGTTTGATAGAAATACATCCAAATAGTAAATAAACACAGCCAGAACGCGTTTTGGGCCACTTACAAAATTTAAGAATTAGGCTTCAGTTGTGATTGCATCCAATCCATGACAATTTTTGATGTAAAGGACTAGGCAGAAAAATATCCTTCACTCAATTTTAGAAATTTGACTGGGCCTGTGAAAATGGACCTGACCTTCCAGGAGAAATTTTTCCATTACTTTTCGCAAATGCATGGAGGTGGAAAATCAGGAAATTTTGGCGCAAATTTGAGCTGAAAGTCTGGAAAATGGAGAGATATATTAGTCCTGCAGGCTGATTGTTGAAATTGATAGTTATACAAAGCAATAGACCAAGAAGACACATAAAGTATGGAGCGATCCTATTCATTATAATGGGTGGTTCTTATTGACTAAGGGGGTAAATGATGGACTAATTATAGGGTCTCTCTTGGGTTGCTGTTAGTTAGTCTATTACACCTTCTTTGTCCATTGCAACCGACCGTTTCCACCAATAGGATTCCTCCATGTTCCTTTTGTCTCCTTTGTATACTAATTTCAGCAATCAAGCTGCTGAAGCTCCAAGACATTAATTGGACATATTTCTATCAAACAGAACTATGTGCATTATGACGTGAGCCCTGATATGCGTGTATTCTTATGGGTCTCAGGGCTCATGTCTTAATGCACATAGTTCCGTTTGATAGAAACACGTCCAATTCTTAAACTGAGGAAAAACGTCATTTAAGAGTTTACAAAAAGTTGGGGAAAACTTTCTCCCGGAGAGTAAGGTCTCTTTTCACACATTAGGTCACAAATATGAATACGCTGTTTTTTGGAACAGTAGGTCATACATGACAAGTGTCAGAAACTTACATTGGCATCAACAGCAGTTTGATTAGCAGATCCTTCATCACTAAAGAAATCATCCTTCACTTTGAGTGGTGATTTACGTCGGTTTCTTATGTTGCCTGGCAGAGACTCCAGGCTTGTAGTCTCAGGAACCGGCAAAACAGGCCCAACACTAAATGATACAGGGGAACATAACTAGTCAGGAGATTATCAGAGTACTTTGACTACCTTTAAAAAAAAATGCAATTTTGACCCTGGGCTTCAGAAGTTTTTACAGTGACTACGACCTATCTTAAGGATACTCAGAAAAAGAAATTGTGATGGGTTGCATACCTGCGACTTGAAAAAATCGAAGAAAAATTGTTCACTGGAAATCATACTTTTGCTGTTCTGACAAGTAAATGAACCGTTTTTGTTCTTACTTCATCACTTAGAGTAAGTACTATGATCTGAAAGAGGGATTTTTTTTATTACTTGCAGGGACTTTTATTTATGAATTTTTTAAGATCTTGGATAATTTGGCAAAGGGAACTTTAGATTATTTCCTAAAAAAAATCTACAGAGTGTAAGAAAAACTCCACCTATAGATCATTATCTAAAAGCCACTGATTTTTTGTAACGAACTGCGTGTCTCTCCTTCAATTAAGGGCTGAAAAAATTGATTCCAATGATCAAAGCCCTTAAAAAATAAACTTTTGAGGAGATGCAATTGACAGAATAATAATCATGCAGACAATTGAGTTACCTTTCTGCACTTTGCCTTGTCTTTCACACTTCAAACAGAAAAAAATACTTCTAGGTAATTCACAAAAAAAAAAAAAAAAAAAAAAAAAAAAAAAAAAACTGAATACATAAGTTTATCTAGGAAAGGTTCCTCTTCAAAAGAAATGAAAAACAATCAGATTTTTTGAAAAAAACCCATTTATAAAGGTGGGGTGCCACCTTGAGATGTAAAATTTGTATACAACAGTATAGTTGCTCCAAGACGTGACGAACCCGAAGTCCTTTGTCAATCTGCTTCATTTTCACTTCGCAAAATTACTGAGTCCAATATCTCTCCTTATCACATATTTAGACTGAGTGTTTTTAAAATTGGCCAAGGACAGTGAGGAATTCCTTGTAAAATTTGATGTTATGCAACAATTAAAACTTTTTCTTCTTGCGCCTCCCGTTAAGTAAAGTAACACAAGCATCATTTTCACCAAAATTTGGTGGTTCCAAAGTCTTCAAATGCATTAAAAATAAAAAAAGTTATAGTTTATTGACAAATTACAGTCATTTTGTTGCTTTAAAAATTCTAATAGTCAAGGTAATAGCATACCACCAGCGCCAGCTTAAGGTTAAGCGACGGTGAGGAAAGTTTTGATACTTTTTTTTGCCTCTTTGACTATGATCGAATTTGGAGATGAAGGACAAAATGCATGTATCACAAGCGTGAATTTTTACAGTGAGGATTATTTTTTAAAACGTTTTATTTTTTTATTATCAGTAAAAATAGTCGAAGCCGATGTGTTGAAATTCAAACCAAAATAATCAGCCACCCTGAGTTAGTTTTTGGTGTCTCCTACAGGGTTGACATATTGGCCCTTGTGATATTTTTCCTGGAAGGAGACAAATAGTCGTCACAGATTAAAATTCAACCTTGAACATACTAGATTCGGTTGAGGAGAAAAAAGAAGTGATAAAATAATAACTTACTCATCATCAACAGGGAAAGGGAAAGATGTAAAAACAGCACTTGATCCAGGGAATGAAGATTTATCAGAGGTATTTTTTGTGCGGGATTTCCTAGTCATTTTTTGGAATGCAGAAGTCGCCACTTTTTCAGGAGTTTTTGGATCAACCTGAACAAATCATAATAACTTTGATTAGAAAATGACACAACAGAGTGTCATGAGACAATAATATTGAGCATGATTCTGCTTTAAGGTTTGTGGTAAAGTTGCCACTTTGTTCACATTTGACTTTTTGCCTTTCACGATACAATCCCTCAGGAGTTTTACACGTTTTTTACAAAAATATAATTTTGAAGTACATACAATCGAGGGTAAAACAATTAAAAAAAACTTGAATCCTTGCAAGAGGGGTCTTCTACTTTCCTTGAAAGTTTTATTGAAATATTATTCCTTAGAAAGAGGTAAACTGAATAAAAGAGCGTCACAGACATTAAAAATATAGGTCCTATTTTTGTGATGCCTGTGATGCTCTATTTTTCAGTATAGCTCTTTCTGGGATTTATTTCTTTAAAAATGAAAGTTTATGGAAAGTAGGATACCACTCTTGCAAAGGTCTCAGAATTGTTTTTAAAAATTGTTTTATCCTGGGTACTTAACCCTTTAAAACAGTTGAAAACGTCAAAATGTAATGTCTGTAACAGAAAAAAATACCCAGCAGCAGAGAATCAGTCCTCTTGACTTTCAGCGGAAATATAATTAAACTAGTAAAGTAGTACACTTAAGTTTCTTCAAACGACAACAGAGAATTCCAATTCCTAGTCTTTAAGATCTGTATCATCTGGTACTACTTTGTTTCGTAATACCTTTATAAAATTAGTTCATGTAGATAGATAAACAGTATACAGTTCTTGCAGTATTAATAATATCTTCTTTTTCTTTTCTTTTAAAAAAACAAATTGTCTTAAAGAAATAAAATCATTAAAAAAAATTGGAGGCCATTCTGAAATTACATAACACTTTTACAGTACTTTGACATCCTTCAGACATTTGTGGCACTCAATTGAACTGCACCACTGCACCAGCCTCCTCCACCTACAGAATTATGTTACTCTGGGTTGCTAATGGGTCAGTTGCGCTGGTCACAGAATCATGTTTTGATACTTAATTCTTGTAGATTAGCTGAAAATAATAAGATCCGTCTAAACCGCAATTTCTTATGTTCAATATTAACTGAGATATCGCCCTTTGAAATGTGAGATTTCTGACGTCATCCACCGCGGCAGTGACACCCTTGGTTTCTTCCTCTTTAATTTGATCAGTGGTGCAAAGGGTGCAATGCCAAACTTCAACGATGTTAAACCTAAACAAACTGAGGTGAACTGACTGATCGCCTAATCTCCTCGCGGCGAGTGTGTTATCTCCTAATAAGAAGATCTTCCAAGTGTGAATCCGTCTGTTTCTTGAGTTTGTTTAGGTTTAACGTCGTTGAAGTTTCACGTTGCACCATCCGCATCACTGATCTATCAAAAAAGGGAGAAACCAGGGATGTCACTGCTGCAATACATGATGTCAAAAACCTGACTTTTCAAAGGGCAATATCTCAGTTAATATTGAACATAGAAAGATGCAGTTTGGACGGATCAAGGATCAAATTATTTGGACGGATCAAATTATTTTTTGCTAATCTACAAGAATCAAGCATCAAAACATGATTCTGTAACCAGCGCAACTGACGCATTATACTGCAAAAATAAGGGTCACTATTTGCTGAAGTGATTAAAGATATTGCAAACAATGAAATAAAAGCAGGATGACAATTTTTCTGCTCAGACTTTCCAACTTCACCATTAAATTATCAACTCGAGAAAAATGGCTTAAAACCATTTACAATCCTGGGCTCAAACCGAGTCCCCTATCCCCTACACAGCAAAGAAAGAGATAAATGAATCCTGGTGAGCCCACTCATGAACCCCCGGGAGGGTGACATAAGGCATGCTTTCTTGGCAGGGTCCTGCCAAAAAATTCCAAATTTTTCTTAATTAAACCTTAAAAAAATGACTTGAAAATTGAAGAAGATGCTCAACATTTCAAAATAGGTAAGTATGAATAAAAAAAAGTTTCTTAAGTTTTCCCTGACTTTTCAGTCGAGATCTGCAATTCTTAGTCCTGTAGTATCTACATTTTTAGATAAAACGCAATTTACTGAGGTATCAGCCGTTAATTTTTGAGGTATTGATTTTTCTACAGGAGTGAGTAACTTATTTGAGGAGAGTTGGGGGTGGGCAAAGAAATCAGGCCTGTTATCAGCGCCCCTAACAGTTTCACACTTGCACATCATGGAAAAAATCATACCTAAAACACTGATGGCTGATACCTCAGTAAAAACTGCATACTTTATAAATGATGGCCATAACACATTTTTTTAAAACTACGTTTTTATCTTGTGTTTCATTACAATAACTAAAAATGAAGCAAAACTTGTAGAACAAACATGACTAAATCTGTAGAAAAGAATCTCATCTTCCGGGAGAAAATTTTCTCTGACTATTTGCCAACACTTAAAACATAAAGAAAATAAAGAAAGTCGAAACTAGAAAACTCAAACTCACAAAAGTAAATTAAAATTGCCGAAGCTTTTCGAAGCTCCCCGGTCCCTTCTTCGAGGCTAAATTCTGAAACCAGATTTTGAGTTCTTTAGTTTTGACCTTCTATATTTTCATTATTTAGCTCACAGTTTGTTACCTCGATTCCCAGTTTGTTTCGTTTTGTTTGGTTTTCGTTAATTATGGTTTATTATTTAAACCACATCTTTTTACAACCTAATGATTTTTGTCTTGTGACTTAAGGACTATCACATCCTTCAATTGTTGAGATTTTAAAGTCAAATTCGCATCATAATCTTAAATTTTCTTCCTCTTTTTTTGCAAAAGTTGAGATTTATCTCCTAGAGAATAAGGTTCCTCTCCTCAGATCCGATCACAAATTTTGATAGGATGAGCAAAGTTCCAGGAGCCAACTGCTGACAATATTTTACAGTCAAATATTTCTCAGTCTTAAGGTATTTACTGACCTGATTTGAAACTCTTGCAGTCTGATCATTGTTCCCAGCATTGAAGTTCATGGAGTCTAATAGGAAGTTTAGTTGTTCTGGAAGGCTGAGTTTTTCCAGTGGGTCGTTCTCAAACGTTTTAAGGTGGCTTTGTACTGAAAAAGTGTAATCCACAATAGGAGATAAAAATTGTTGACATTCAACTGGATTTAGCATATCAAGACAAAAAGAGATCCAGACAAAAAAACACGTGGAAGAGGGGCAGGCACTGACGCTATGGCTGCACTGACGCATCAAGAGGGAAAAGCCCCTAGTTGTGGAAGAACAGTCGAACCCTCTTCTATGAACACGTTGACAAAGCTCTTGTACACAATTTCTGGATTTTAAACTGCTGGCACATGAGTGTGTCAGCCATCAGAGAAGCCTCGATTACAGTGGACTCTCGATAATTTGAACCTCGATAATTCGAAGGAAAGTCTGTTTCCCTTGAAAATCTCTCGATAATTCGAAGGAAATCAATGTATTTTTCTCCCCTCGTTATTTCGAAATTTTTAAGCTGGCGCGGCCCTCTATAATTCGAAATTGCAATGAAAATTCTCTCTGTAATTCGAAGTGTGGGAAGTAAATATGGCCCTCCCTCTATAATTCGAAATGAGACAGTACATTCCCTTTACAATTCGAAGTCAACTGTTTATGTATCTGGGTGTCTGAAAGAGCTTGACCTTTGACCTAAAGATCTTTTGGCGTAAATTCGTCCATTTGCCCCTCTATAATTCGAATTCAGATGGCGCCTTCCCTCTATAATTCGAATTCAGATGGCGCCTTCCCTCTATAATTCGAATTCAGATGGCGCCTTCCCTCTATAATTCGAAATTTCTCCACATGGAATCTCTTTAATTCAAACTCTCTTCATTTCGAAACCTCGCTAATTCGAATAAAAAGCCGATTCCCTTCAATTTCGAATTATCGAGAGTCCACTGTACTACATCTATACCTGTTCTCCTTTCTGCCGTACTAAGGAAAAACGCCGTATGAGCCGTTTAGGTGTTGCTAAATTTCCCCTTGCAAATCACTGATTTTCAGGAAATTTTTTTGATATTTGTTTACCAATTAATCAGATAATTTTGTTTGTAATTTGATCTAAAACTTCTGAAAATTTCAAGAGAAAATATTCATGATTTTCCTCAAAAATAAACATTTTATCGAAGGAAATTTGGCAACTCTCGAATGTTTATACGGCGTTTTTCCTTAGCACAGCAGCTTTAACCATGAAAGGCATCTATCTCCAAGGTACGTGAAACGAAGGTGTACTCTTGCCGACTCCTAGGACGACGATGTTGATGACCGACATGGCTCATAGAACATTCCTTTTGCTTCCAAAGAACATAATACAACCAAAAGTTAAGATTTGGATCAAAATAAGACAAAAATATTAAAGTTGGTGCATTTTTGTGCACTTAAGAGTTCGTGAGAATTTCAAAAAAGAGCCAGATGTTTTAAATAATAGGTACACATGATTGAATGGGAACTAAGGCTACTGGTAAAATTACTATAAAACTAGACAATATCTGCAGAAATCAATATTGATGTTAAAAAAATTGCAATTTCAATTTGCTGTAACTTTTGATAAATGTTGTTCTATAATTGTAAAGTTGGACTCACCGATGCGATAAACAGAACACAGATAGTCTAGACATTGAAGGAGCGTCAGACCCATGACCTTGGTGGAAAATCTTCTGTACTGCAAGTAAAAAGCATGACACTCTTTTAGATGCTGGGATGTTTGCAGGAATAACAAAGCAGCCTCCGAGCATTTTTCAGCTTCTAGGTACCCTGAAAAGGTTAAAACAAGATCTGATGAATTTTCAGGTCTACAATACATGAATATAGTGCAGTTTAGAGTAAACCATTGCGAAAAGATTTCCCTCAGTTGACGGTAAAGTAACTACAATTGTCATTTCTAGTGTTTTCCTGCGAACAGGCGCATCAATCCACGTGCATCTCATCGCTCCTTTGACGTATGGGCGTATCTCTGTTTCTATTGAGTCCCAGGAAGCATGGATTTTGTAAAATGGGGCTAATGTGGAAAATGAGGTATGTCCTTACTGTAGCAAAGCGATGATTTGGCTGTGGGAATCTTCGGAAAAACTCAACCGATTCCCTAAAATCAATCAAAATTGAAAAAAAAAAATAAAATAAACCCTCTAGGAGGATCAGTTGCAAAGCAAAGCAGGAGAGCTAACTCCCATCAATGCCTTCATCAACTACCAGCAGTCTTTCTCTCGCCGTGGGCTATCTCTCTCGCACTTACAGAGAAACCCCATCAGAGAAACTGGGATCAAGTTTTAGCTTTTATTATTAAACTTTCAAAGCTCATGTTTGTTCCTAAACATTCCAGACATATGCTACTAGAACTTATGAGTCTTAGAATTTAATATATCTACTGTGATATTTTAATAATCACTGATTTTGGAGTCAGATTATGGCAGTGCAACGCAGTGGATTTTTTCATAACTGACGCTCACCTACGCTGAAGATTAACCTTAAACAAAGCGTCTTAGAGAAAGTGAGGACTAGGTTGCGGGGAATCATCTCCAATGAAACCTTGAACTGGAAGAGAGTGACAGAACTTGTCAGATTTAATATTCTGCAGAGATTGATTGAAGGTCGACAACATAAAATTGCCCATTCTATTATGCAGTTAGATTTACCAGACACCTTTCAACAAATCCATCAATCTACAAACAATTTTTGCCGTTAGATAAGAATGTAAAGCTTTACTGGGTAAGCCTACTAATCATCAGCAGTTAACTTGAACGAGGACAAGCGAAGTGGACTGTTCGGCATCTGTCGATTCCATTTCCAATGGGTCCTAAATATTTCATTTCCATGAAGCGCCTTGCTTGTAAATGGAGTTATTGTAAGATATAGAGAAAAAATTTGGAGAAAAGGGTCCGTGTCACTCACCATAAACTAATCGAGCAACTTCAGAGGGTAACAGCGCCTCCATGTTTAAATACAAAGATATCTGTTCAAAAGATCTGACAATTTAAAAGGGCATTCACTCTAGATCGGGTCCAAATACAGACACTGTGTAAATATTCATTCATAAGTGGAAGTCACAGCACATTAAACAAAACCAAATAAGCTAATTTCTGATTATATTATAACCTCAACATTATCGCATTTTGACATTTTCCCTCTGTTTTCCTTTTTTTTTCTCTCACCTGTGTGTGCGCGCCAATGCGCCAATGGTGCGCACGCATAGCATCAACCAATCATGGACGCTCAGCAGCAACAAGTGAACAATTTAGCGCGCTGTTCAAATAATTTGGTGTTGCAGGTGTCAGGTGTTCCAACGGCTTTGAATAGGTAAACACATTGTTGTGATTTAAAAACGTGTTCCACGTGAATGCATCATACAAACTTGGAAGTTTAATCTTTTATCATTTTTGGTTTTTGTATTTAAGTGATTCTTCGTCTTGTGTCGTTAAAATTATTTAGAGGTATGTTCTCGAGGCATAGTTGAATTTCCGGGTCACAAATGTGATGTGAAGTTCGAAGTTGCTATCCAAAACATCTCTCTTTTTATGATCTCAATCATCTGGTAAGTAAGCACGTGCGTCTTGTTCATATTTTTCCCGATCCCATCCTTTAAGTAACTTGTTTATCGTAGAATAAGAATGGAAACTTCAAGTTGAATTATTTTGTCAGTATCATATGCTTTGTCTGTGGAGCAGACCCAAACCATGCCATTTCAGCCGTACCTCATGGAGGTCTCGATGATAAGCAGTTCATCAGTGATGATGATGGTAAATATGTTCGGTCGGCTTATTCGTGGCCCTAATAAAGTATGAACTGTTGTTACACTCATTTTTGACCTGTCATGAGTCACCTGAGTATCAGTGATGATGCAGAAGTTGAGCGCTTCTCGATGAAAACGGCAAGTGGGGGCTGTGTTTTTCATTAGCACCCTTGTTTGAACATCCGAAGCACCTACTCAAAAGCCTTCTTTTTCCCGGACATTTCGTTCAAACTTTGCTCTTTTCTCCCTCACCATATACTTACCTAGGCACTGCACTCTTTTCCTCACTGCTGTACTTTGGCACCATTTTATCCTCTTACCTAGTTACTGCTGTAACTAGAATGGCTACCACTGACTGTTTCCTGCAATGCTGAGGATAATTTGCATACCTAAACTAGGTACATGTTCCGCAATGCGAAGCAGTCTCCAAACTATCATCATGCAAGAGTTACGCCCTCCAAAAGCGTGTCCTCAACATTAAAAGTTGGCTGTCACTCGTTGACAGTTGATTTGGTTACATCGATCGACTTACTGCATTCATTACAAAATGCCAGGCTGAGAAATCAGTCCTCTTTCAAATAGTTGAAAGCGCTAGAAACATTCCAAACTCTGAGTATCTTGAAGCAGGAATCGTATAGCTGCTTTCTTGCCTAAGTACTTATATTTTTGCCCTCCAGCAAGCATTCCAGCTTTGACTCAAAATTTTAACTTCTCCCATCTAGTAATAATCTGTAATTCCAAGTCCGTGTTATGACTTTGACTTTGTTTAAATCAGAAATTATCAATCTGAAGAAATGGGAAGCAGTGATCCTCTCTTAATTGCACCTCCCCCCCAGCATATCGTTGGTGAAAGTGCGATGTCAGGTGGGGCAGCCCCCGGGGTGTTGGTCTTCTTGAATGTCATGTGAGGCAGCCCCCGAGGGTTTGGGCTTCTTGGATGCCAGGTGGGGCAGCTTCCGGGGGTAGGGCTCCTTGGATACCAATGGGGCCAGCCCTTAGGGTTGGGCTTCTTGGATATCAGGTTGGGCAGTCCCTGGGGGGTTGGCCTCCTTGGATATCAGGGGGGGTAGTTCCTGGGGGTTGGGCTTCTTAGATGTCAGGTGGGGCAGCCCCCAAGGAGTTGGTCTCCTTGGAAGTCAGGTGGAGCAGCCCCCAAGTGGTGGGTCTCCTTGAATGCCAGGTAGGGCAATCCCCGGGGGGTTGGGCTCCTTGAATGACAGGTGGTTGGGCTCCTTGGAAATCAGGGGGGGCAGTCCCCGGGGGTTGAGCTTTTCGGATGTCACGCGGAGCACCCCTGGAGGCTGGGCTTTTTGGATGCCAGGTGGGGCATCTCCAGAGGTTTTGTTCCCTAAGAAGCACGTATCACATTGCTAAAATTCGTACCCCGTTGCCCGGGTCAATTATTTTCCTTCAATTGGCTGGGTATGCAAAACGACTGTCCCAACGCACGAATAGTGGTATCAGAATTTCGCATTAAGATCACATAGTGGGTTATGAAGGCGCTCCTCTGCATCGGATCTGAGTGGCCCTGTACTACGATGTTGACCAGAAAAATTCAGAATTTTGGAGTCTTCCATCGAGGCGTAATTTTGAAAAATACCCGATGAACATTATTGCACGTTGCAAGATTTTTTTTTCTCCTGAAGTCTTATTTAAAAAATGAGAGTCCAAACGCCCGCTTCAGATTGTGGGTTTTTAAGTCTTCTTGCTTTGGTCATCGTATTCTCATGCAGGATTGAGAGATTCGCCGTTTACAAGATCGCAACTTACTCAAAAGCGGTTGTGAATTCAATCAGTTTCGCACGGATAAAATGAGCTTGCGACGATGAACTATGAATAATCAGAATTGAAGAAAAGGTACTGTGTCCACTGGTCCATTTGAAGGGCGTAGAGCGTGGATGGATGGAGCATGGATGCCCTCCGGGTTTCTACGGGCGAAGATGGATGTGCGTTTCCAACGGTATATATGCCAAAGTGTTGGGGGGAAAATCGAAAAAAAAGCATTACCGACATAATTTTTTGAGGATCCTCGCAGAGGCGATATATTCTAGAGACCACGCACTGTCTTCTTATGATTTTATGTCTTCTTCTCATGGTGTAAAAGATATTCAAGGAAGCCGATTCTCTCATTCACTTATTGGCGACTCATCGTATACGATCAACTACTTAGAGCTTCTAAACAAGTCTGAAGTATGAATAAACTCTATTTTTGATCTTCATGATCAAGAGCAGGTTCAAAACGCTAATGGATCACTAGACAAGGTACGAATTTCAGCATTCTGATACATGTTTCGTAATAAAAATTTCACGTAGAACACAATGCGCACAACAGAAATTACCGAAATTAAATTCTTACGAAGATATTTAATGATTCCTGATGCGTGAATTCTAACCACCCGCTCATGAAAACTCAATGGTCTGCGTGATTCGTATCGCGCGCTAAACGTTATCATGAACGTCTCTGCGATATAAAAATTTGGCAACCTCAATCTTGACGCTTTGGATCAGCTGTAGCAAATTGCCTACAGTTTGAACAACACATGGTGGGAAATGAATATTGCTCGATCGAGAAGCTTGCTGAAATCGTTGTAGTGCGCGATTTGACTCACGTAGAGCTTTGAGTTTCTTGTAAGCGGGCAGTTCAAATTCCTCGTAACCAATGTGAAATGAAAATGTTAATATCTCCGTCAGAAGTTGGTTTCAGTCATTTTCGTTGCGCGAATCGTGTTCTACGTGAAATTCTGGTGAAGAACATGTATCAGAATGCTTTAATTCGGACCTTGTCTAGTGGTCCATAACGGAAATGCGTATCTCGTGATGAAACGTCATTTTCCAATTATACAATGCTTGATCTGGCCATATGAGATCAAACTAATGCTTATCTGGATAGAAATTGTAAGCGTGAAAATCTTTTTTCAGTCTTTAAATGATCCAAATCCGCCAACAACAGGTTTGAAACATCAATGGGCCACTAGACAAGGTACGAATTTCAGCATTCTGATAAGTGTTTCTTAATTAAAATTTTACGTAAAATACGACGCGCACAACGAAAATTACCGAAATCAACTCCTTCCAAAGATATTTAATGATTCTTGATGCGTGAATTCAAACCACCCGCTCATGAAAACTCAATGCTCTGCGTGATTCACATCGTGCGCTAAAAATTATCATGACAGTCTCTGCGATATAAAAGTCTGGCAACCTCAATCTTGACACTTTGGCTCAGCTGTAGCAAATTTTTTATAGTTTGAACAACACATGGTGGGAAATGAACATTACTAGATTGAGAAGTTTGTTGGAACCGTTGTAGTGCGCGATTTGGCTCACGTAGAGCTTTGAGTTTCTTGTCAGCGGGCAGTTCAAATTCCTCGGAACCAATGTGAAATAAAAATGTTAATATCTTCGTTTGGATTTTGTTTCATTAGTTTTCGTCGCGCAAATCGTGCTTTACGTGAAATTTTGGTTAACAAACATGTATCAGAATGCTTAAATTCGTACCTTGTCTAGTGGTCCATTGCAGAAATGCGTATCTCGTGATGATGTGTCAACTCTTAGTGCCGAAAACGCAAATCTCGGCATTTCTGCTGTATTTTCTAACAGTTCGAGATATTATTCAAAATGCTGACGGAGTCTAAAAGAGCATCTTATTCTTGCTATCTTCAAGAATTATTACCCCTCTAAAGAGGAATGTATATTGTTTTTTTTTTTTTTTTATGCTTCTGGAAAATCGTGTTTTCCGAGATATGCTCTTCTGCACTTTCACCATCGATATGAATTTCGGTCAGCAATGACGTAAACAATTTTAAATTATTTTTCCTTCGACTTGCTGTGATCCTGATCTGTTTGTTTTGATTTCATTAGACTTAAAATTGCCCTTTAAATGATTGATTAGATCAGTCATAATCTCGAATGTATCTTAACACTTGTACTGTTGCTCAGTGCACTCACCAGTCACCAAGCAGCTCAGCACTTTCAATTTTTTTTAAAGATTTGTCCTAATTTTTTGTCGTACCAATTCATCTGTTAAAATGTCAAAAACTGAAGAGACTTTTCAAAAGGATCGACTTTGACAGGAATGCAGTGAACTGCGTCAAGTTTAAACAGAGTTTAAGATGTTTGAACTTCTATTCCTCCATCTATCCTCCATTGTCAGCGTTGAGAACAAAGGTTGACGACTATTTTTACATTCAAAATAATCTCTCTTGACTTCAAACTTTCTACAGGATAACTATTAAAATATCCTAGTCGAATTTAATATTCCTTCCAACTCATTTCTTTCAAAAATGCGTCGTAGTGTGTCTCTGTCATAGTAACTCGGACTGGGAGAAACTGGGATTCATCAGGGAATCTAGGAATAAAAACCATCAGGGAATAATCAGGGAATCTGTTCCAGAAGCCGGGAATCTCTTCTTTCACTTTATACATTACCTTAAATGCCCCCCCCCCCTTGGTACCTATCATGCCGTACTTCTAGAAATTATTTTCAAATATATTCAAATTCGAGAAGCATAAAATCCAAGAAAAACTGTCAGTTGGTTTCCTTTTAAAAATATTAAACATGAATGTAGATTTGCAACGTCGAAATAGAAATCTGTCGACTTAAGCAATCGATTTGCATTTGGACTGCATTTTGCAATTTGGACCTATAAATTCTGGCTCATCTGAAAAAACATGTATGTGCATAGGGAAACTAATGGCACATACGTTGTTTTTAAACCGGGCCGGAATTTATAGGTCCAAATTGCAAAATGCAGTCCATTTGCCGTTCGTGCACAGTGCTCTGTGTGCCAAAGAGAAAGCTGAAACCCTCCGTTATACTGCCGTGCTAAGGAAAAACACCGTTTGGACCCCCAGGCGTTGCATTTCTTTTGATAACACACGAATTCCCTGGTAACTTGTGAATATTTCTCTCCAATTTTTTCGATAATTCTGTTCGCAATTTCGCCGACAGTTCCTGAAAATTCCAAGGAAAAATATTCATAACTTGTCTTAGAAATAAACATTTTAACAAAGGAAATCTAGCAACTCTCGAATGTTCATACGGCATTCTTCCTTTGCACAGCAGTATAGGTAATTGGAGCTGCAGAAGGAAGCTGCACGACTTAGCAGCGGCGCGCGCCTTCATTTCCGCGCGACACCTCCCGCATTGCAGCGAAGTTAATATAGTTGCGTGACCCAATCTAACCTAACTCGAATCTTTCGTGGAAGTTTCATGCCTTTGCGACAGATTTGAATCGGATCGAAAGCATTAATTGAAGTTAATAAATTAATGTAGGAAGAAATAAATAACTAGATACCGAACATATTTTGTCGCATTATTGCTTTCTTTCTAGATTTTGAATTAAGGTGATTCGTCAAGCTCAAGTGACGGGGTCGAACTGGTATGCTATGTATCGCGTCGATTAGGTCAAAAATCTCGGCAGATTTTGAATTTTCAGCCAGAAAAAGGACGATAGCCCCTGCGCATGAGCCTAAAGAATCAATCATTCTAAACCCCAAAATTGGCAAAATTCAGAGAAATAAAGTAGAATAGTGTTTGGAAAAAAATTTCGCATTTGATACAGAAATCGATATCTGAATTGAATGCGAGGTTTTTTTCCAAACACTGTTCTGCTTTCATTTCTCTGAATTTTGCCAATAATGGGTTTAGAATGATTGATTCTTTAGGCTCATGCGCAGGGGCTATCGTCCTTTTTTTTTTTTTTTGCTAAAAATTCAAAATCTGCCGAGATTTTTTATCTAATCAATGCGATATATCGCATGTCAGTTCGACCACGTCACTTGAGCTCGACGAATCACCTTAAGAGCGAGAAGTTTACGCTTTCAAGCGTGCATCAACCTAATATTACCCATTACGCAGTCTTGGCTGTGGCTCCAGCTTATCGATAGCCAGTATTGAAAAATGCGGCCACGGAAAGTCTGTATATACAGGGTGGCCCAGATCTACCGTACCAGGTCTTTTTTCGGTTAATTTGAGTCGCACGAAGTCCAGGATCGCGGGGATGAATAGGGAATCAACCCCAAGGAATTCGAATTTCATGGTCCCAGAGCCCCCCTGGTGCCCCTTGGGGCGTAAAAGGGGGGTCCGCACTTCAAAAGTCAGGGTTTATGTCAAAATTTTGAAACTATTTCATCGGAATCAGAACGTACGGAACGAATCAGAACTTAAATCGACACCAAGAAATCCGAAATCGGCCCATCCGTGTCCAAAATACCGACCCCTAAAGTCGGGGGACACAGCCCCCTTTCAAAATAATTCAAGTTCGTCAAATTGACGTGGAGACTCGGAAAAAATGTGTATTCGTGGGTAATCGACCCCAAGGAATCCGAATTTGAGGGTCCCGTTGTCCTCAGAGACTTTTCTGATGGGGCACAGGGGTAACCTCCACACCGGTTAAATTTAAAAGTTCAGAGTCCCCCTGTGCCCCATCAGAAAAGTCTCTGAGGACAACGGGACCCTCAAATTCGGATCAAATTAACCGAAAAAAAGACCTGGTACGGTAGGTCTGGGCCACCCTGTATAAAACTATTCTATTTAGATAAATATTCACTATGGCAGCCTGAGAACGTAGATGTAAAATATTGCCGTGCTAAGGAATAACGCCGTAGAAACATTCAAAAGTTGCCTTTCTCCTCGGAAAATACTAATTTTTGAAGAAAGGTATCAATGTTTTCTCTTGAAATTTTCAGACTTTTTAGCTCAAATTGCAAACTAAATTACCTGAGAAACCGGAAGACAAATCTTCAAAAATGATCTTGAAAATTAGTGATTTTTCCAAGGAAATTTGGCAACTCTTGAAGGTTCATACGGCGTTCTTTCCTAGCATGGTAGAATAGGACAAGAAAATGCGGGGACGATCGGCTAAAAAAACACAATAATTCACAAACAGAATTTACTCGTGCGTTTTATAAATTATTGTGTTTTTTCAGTCTCGTCCCCGCCTTTTCTTGTCCCATTTTATACATACAAATATCCAAATAAAAAAATGTACAAATATACAAGTATTTGATCATGTTATTTTCTCCTTATTTTTTAAGAAAAGACTAATTAAATCAGTCCTCTGGCAGAGGTGTGTCCGCGATCACTACATATATAACGGTGAAAAATCGCTTTGATCCTTAAATTGCTAGCAACAGTCGTCGACATTTTCAAACAACCTCTGCTATATTTCTTTAATACAAAATATTCGTATGCATTAAGCAACTGGCGCATTTTAAACATGGTCTCTGGGACCGGGAAATCCAGGATTCATCGGGGAACGTAAATCTTTGGAAAACTCAGGGGAGTCGTTCCAGAAACCGGGAATCTCTTCTTCCACCGCTTACAAATATTTTCCTTTTCAAAGTTTTTGGAAATTTGAAGCACTTATTATTATTTAGGTTTTTGGCTCTGCACCTGAGCCGCCATCATTGACCTCTCGAATGACACATTTGAATCTTCAAATTATCATAACACCTAATACAGAGGCTTTCATCGACCACGTAGTATAAACACCTGGAACAATTTTGGAATTAAAACTTTGAATGTGCGCCAAAAAATCGGCTGAAAGATTTTAAAAAACCCAATAGTTTTTTCCAAGAAAATCCTGGGGAAGTGGGAGAAAACTTATATGTTTCTCATGAGGGAATGAGTCCCTGAAAATCAAGAAACCATCAGGGAATAACTATGGTTAATGTTTCTAGAAACCTTGGTTTCTCTTGAACTCGATCCAGTACTAAATTTAATAAAAAATTGACTTTCACTCTGAAGATGACGCAATCCGAAATATATCTAGGCATGCGTGGTTGTTGTTTTTTTACTATGTAATAAAAACATCTATGGATCTAGGTTTGAATGTTTTTAGTGTATTAATAAACTAATACTCAGATACCACCGAGGTCTGTTAGATTAGAAACCGGATTTTGGTCATATCTAGCCCTCAATGCGTCCGAATTAGGTTTTCTTGAACTTCCCTGATAGCTGGAATTATACATAAGAACGCTACGTTCACAAATTTGAAAAGCCCTATTTAGCTTCGTTGGTATGTGGCTTGAAGTCAGGCAACCTCATGGGTGTTCTGCGATTTTTATGTTTGACCGAACTTGTCTCACTTTTTTCGGTCTTGCACTACATTTTTCAACCCACAAGGACGATTGGAGTTTCGTCTCCATATCGTAGCCGTACACTAAAGTATTGTCACCGAAAATTATCCTATCCAAAAATGTAGGGTCATTGTTAGAACGTTCAAACAGTTAAAAGGAAATTGACATTTGGTTGGATTTTCGTTCAACGGACAACAATCAAGGGGCAAGTGTACCTGAAACTCGATGCGTGTCTACATATTCTATCAAAATTGTATGTACAGAGCCTTTAGAAATGTTACTCTGTTCAGCAAGTTTTTCCCGCACTTCCTCCACGTGACAAATGTCAGTTGTTGTCGTTGGCGGTCGATTCCCGCATGCTCCTCATCTTCGACGAACTCCTGACCAGTTTTGAATCGTTTAACCCACTCAAAACAGTGAGAACAACTCATACAATGATCTTGGTAAACTTTACTTAGCATGCCAAAAGTTTCGTTACAAGGTATACCTAGTTTAAAACAAAATTAAATGTTAAATCTTTGCTCTATCAGTGATCGCATGATGAAAATCGCAGAACGCACCTGACTTACTCGTATTCAAGGTGACACAGAATGAACACTGATCATGATAAACAAAGTATGTGGATCTAGCATTCTTTAGTATATTTCCAGCCATCAGGAAAGTCCAAAAAAACCTATTTTGGACGCATTGTGGGCTAGTTAACACGAAAATCCGGTTTCCAATCTAACAGACCTCGTATAGACGGTGAAACTTCAAAACCACGCATCTTGTTTGCGATGTTCAAAAATCTCCGGTCTCAAAATATTTTTTTACAGGTGAACGAATCAACATTATTCCTTGAAGTTTTCACACAATTTTCTTCGCACAGAGAAGAAAAATCAAGACAGTTTAGTTGAATAAATTTTAATTTAAAAAATAAAATAAAATACGGCAGGAACTCTGCAACGTCGCAAACCGGAATACATGCTTTGGTAGTTTCACCTTTGGTATGCAAAGTTACACTACACCTGGTCCAAATGTTGCAAAAGATCGATTCGAGGAGAAAAATAAAGTTTAAGGTCATCAGGTACTTTCATCACTTTTGAAAAATGTTCTGTTTTGATCCCTTTTTTATCCAACGGTTATCATTGTTGTAGGTACGAACTTTTTATCCCCAGACGAAGCGGAAAGTCTATCCTGTGTACCTGTTTCTGAGGGAAGATCTCTTTTTTACCTTGTGACCTTTTACGAAAACGAAACCGGCTTTTTCGGCATCCAGGTCAGTAACGCCTTAGCATTTGTTAATTTCAAGTTGTTAGACTTGGAGTAAGGGTTGTGGTGAACTTGTGCTCAAAGTGAAGGCTTGTTCTTGCTGATTGAGTACGCAATGAAATGTGACAAAAGATCTGCCATTTTTTTTCAGGTATTTATTTTGAAGTAAAGATAGCTCATCTTCTGCCGCACTCCAAAAGTGCGGGTGTAAACTTATTGACGTGGACTCTGATGGGAATATCGACGTGAAACCGACGGAAGAAGTATTTTGTTCGCTGTGTGTCAAAATCTCTGATCCCATTTTATTTCATTTCATCAGAGGAGAACAAAGTAACGCGATCGCTTAGAATTTTAGTGCACAGAATCGGCTGCTAAAAATTAAGTACTCTTACAGTACGTTTTCAGTACCTTTCCAAAAAATTCAGATGCTGTTAAGTTGATTGCTGATTTGAGTTCCTATTACTTAGTTATATTTCTTACCGCTTGTTTATTGTTAATTCTTCTATAAAAATCATCCATTCGCCAAGTACAATCCTAGCTTAAGCACACTTAAACTATGCGGTCAAAACTGCAAAAGCGGAAAAGGAAAACCGACAAGGTCAGCGGGGAGGCTACTTCAATATAAATTTTCCATTGCATTGCCAAGGCGCAACGATACAACTATTCGCTCTCTCCGGAATGCGTGAGGTATCACGCTGTAATTGAAGGCGTTTTTGAAACTGCCTTTCCGTACCGGGATTCTTGTGTCACTTACATAGGGAGTCTACTAAAGCTGCCCAGCAAACATCAAGTACTTTTACAGTACTTTTCCAGTACCTTTCCATAAACTTGTATGGTGCTTTTAAGTCCCAAGTAGCAAAATAAAAATATTTTATGAAAAAAAAAAATCGATGAAACAAATTTAGAAAATAAAGAAAAAGTAGCTAGCATTACGGAAAGTAGACAGAAAATTCAAAATGAGTGTCACTATTTACCGAAAAATATAGGTCTATTTCCTGTCTACAAAATGGATCTATTTTCCGTTTAGAAAATTGATAGGGCTATTTCTTTAAGAAAAAATATCCAAAAATCTGTCGGAAAATAGAGAACAATTGGATATTTTCTCTATCTATTCCTTAGAAATTTAAAATTCAGAAAACAGATGGAAAAAATACAGAATGTAGACAACAAAATTGTCGGTTTTCCTTGTATTTAGTGTCCGGAACGTAGACAGAACATAGAAGTTTTTTTAATAATTTCCTTACTTCTACTTGATACATCTATTTTCTTTCTATTTTATTTTTCTGTCTAGAAAATAGACAATTTCTGAATTACTGCTAGACAGAAAATAGAACCCTATGTTACTTGGGGTGACGAAATTCGAAAATCGCCGAAATTCACGCTCAAATCGCGGGTACTTGATGTTTGTCTCACGTTCTTCCCCTCCGGAGTGTGTGGATTCAATCGGTTCGGTTGAAAATTGAAAAATGGCGAATTTTATCATTGGTGCGGGCTCAAAAATATTTTAGTTTTCCAGGATATTACAAATGAACATAAAATAGACCGCGTTTAGCAGAGAGGAACTAAGCCACATCAGCTATTGCCAAAAACTAGACGATTAAATTTTGCGGTTTGCCGAGGGAAGGTTTGTGCGGATACTTTTTAAAATGTTTAGGAATTTACTTTTTATTATTTGCTTACTGAAAATTCACTGAAATTTGCACAAAAATCCGCCAGACTGCTTTCATGTAAAAAATGAAATTGTCCAATTTAATTTGGCAATAGCTGATGCGACTTATTTAGAATTTGAATGTAATTCATTTTCGTTTTAGTACAGAGATATACAAAGCTTATAGACAAATAGGTAACAAAAGAAAAACAAAAAAGGATAGAACATCCACGAAAGACACTAGGCCATTGTGTCGGGTGGAGCCTCTTTGTTTTATTTTGTTTCATTTTTCCGATTTTTTGTCCCTTTTTTCCCCTTCTTTTTATTTTTTTTTACTTACTTCTCCCTCGCTTATCCCACTTAGGAAAAAAGGAAATTGCTGATTTAACAATTTTGTAGTCAAAACAAGTGTCTGACCTGTTTCAATGTAGATTTTACAATTAAAAAAATGCCAACTTAACCACCCTCATGGTTACAATAATATATACATAAAGTTATATAGTTAGTAATATATACATGATTACGAATAATATATACGTAAAGTAATATAGTTAGTATAGTATTCTGTAAAGACGTTAATAGCCTGAGACGCTGAATGTCTTAAAATTATACTAACTAACTAACTAACTAAGTGCTGTACATGAAACAGCACTTAAATATATTAAATCAATAGATGCTTAGTGTGTTCTCCACTAGGTAAATGGTTGTAAATGTATTCTTTCTGCCTAACGCGGTCTAAATAAAGAGGATGGTAAGACATAATCATGTTTCACCATCTGCGTGCTTTCGGTAATGGTTTTTTTCTTAATTTGTTGCTGGTCGCTTTTTTTTTCAGAATGAGCATCCACACCAGTGGTCTACCAACGTTTTTAAGCACTTTATTCCCTTTGGGGAACGTCCCGCCCGTATGTTTAACCCAGGACCTACCCCCGGAGGCAGACGCTCACATTCTCCTGCTGGGTTGCGGCGATGCACGGAACATTCTATTCACCTGTTTCGCAGACAACCAACGGAAACTCGACGTCACCTGCTGTGACATTGCACCTATGATCCACGCACGGAATGTACTATTATACACTCTCATTAGCGATGACGAATCCAATGAAAACATCGAGCTTATTTGGAACTTATACTATCACTGGAAAATAGACGGAAACTCAGTGGATCTTCTCGAGTCTCAGATCCAGAGGCTTCTAGCGGTGTCCGAGTCTATAGATCATTGGCATAATTCTGTTTACGGGTCCATGATCCGATTTTGCGATGAAAAATCCCTGTCCTGCGTGAGAGCTTATTGGGAGGGCTTTACAACGAGGGGCCTCTCGAATTCTGCTAAGAAGGATCGGCTCAAGCGGCTACAGGCGGCGATCGATAGAGTCAGAGAAGACCGCCTTCTTAACGGTGGTCCTGATTACAAAGGTTATCGGGCTTTATTCCCCACCAACATGAATGTAGATGGACAGGCCTGGTCGGCTCTGGATTCTGTCGCTAAGCAATGGTGGGGCTACGGAATGGTATCAGCAGAGAACACACGAGCTGTGCAACCGGCTCACTTGAACCCAGTTTTCTTGTATTCTCCTGATGGTGAGCTGACCATGCATGAAGGTACATCACCTCTTGGCAGTCTTCCTCTATGCACTGCTTATATTTTATTGAGCAAAGAATCTCCCCTCTATCAGGAGAAAAAAGGTCGATCCCCTACGCAACATCTGGTCAATTGCGCGAAAAGTAATTTCTTTCAATGGGCGCCAGCATTCAGGAAAGCCATTAAGAATGGGTCGGTTATACGAATCTTCTCTGGTCATGCTTTTCCCTTCTGCTTCACTTTGCGCAACTGTCAACTTACCGGATCGACATCGATGAATTTGCCCTTTCACAATTGGACCAACAGCCCCCTCATTCTTCACCATAGTGATTATGGTGACAGCAAAGATTCTGCTCCCTTGAGCTTCGACGTTATCGATACATCTAATTTAGCAGATTACCTAGGACCATTAAATGTAGTCGCTCTTACGTCAAGCCTACTCAAGCGTAACGTATCGAGTTGCCTGTATACTCAGTTGATGGTTATGTTCGACTCCAGTCTCCAAGAAAGACTGACCAATCTCTTCGGTGTTGATGTGCGCTCTATGTCCTTCCTCCTCGGTCTTGTCCTCCCAGATCTTTTCACCAACGCAACCAGCACCGTAGACGAGTATCCGAACATCGACAAAATCATCGTACAAAAGCCGGGTTCTATCTGCAGGCCTACAGTAGTTTCACGTCTCCGCTGGAGGCGATTGGGAACGCCAGGCATGTTACCAAGCGTGCAAGTGGAAGCGAAGGAACTTGCTAAGTTTCTAACTCACGTTCATCGTGCGATGTTTCAGTTGGATGACTTACCTGACATTTTTGGCCATCATAATTTAACGAGAGAAGACGCATTAAAGGACCTACATCGCCCCTACAATCGTGCAAGCTTTGCGTTTCTTTTGAGCCATCTCAAGGCAACACTTACCGTAGACTGGGATGAATGTCTGAAGGAGATATATAATGTACTTGGCGTGGATGGACAAAAAGGATTATCCAACAATTATCATCTTGAAGACCTCCTCCTCAACTTACATGCATTTGGGGTTGACAGTAGTCATTTTACCAAGCCAAATCCTGCAAACATGAATGGTACCATCCTCGCTTCAGTGTTGTCTGAATGCGGAGATTTGCCAGACCAATTATGTGTAACAATTCGTGTGCCTAAGAAGCACCTCAATGCCATCGGAAAGTGTCTTGGTTCTCAGGGTATCGTTTGTCATTTTGAAGGTAGAAATCCTCAAGGCCAGGTGTACCGTCGTTCTTTCTCCTCTGTTCAGATGGCTTTTCGAAAATTGGACGAGTCAAATGGAGAAGTACATTCAAATCCGCTCAGTTTTGAAGGTTCTGGTGTATTTTTTTGCACTTCAGACGTATTTGCATCCGTTATGGTACCCACCTCAATGCTCATTTCAATGCTTCTCCAGTCGGTACCAAAAGTGAAGTTTATTGTGAAGTACAATCCCATGACTTACATGTTTTATTTCATGAAATTGGGTCCTGAACTTTGTTTTTTCTCAACTGAAATAACAAGTTCAGATGTTTCTATTACAAAATTCATGCCAGGAATGTCTGGGCTTCCAAGATTCATCAATCTTGAAAACAGAGAAGTGAAACTAGCCTCAAATTCGACCTCTGTTCGCTTTTCTGGTGATGGTTTGAAAATAAATTCATTGATTCGACGCATCACCTTGGAGTCAGAGACAGACAAAGCTGTACTAGCCAATAAATCTTCTGTCGTTCAAGTGAAGTTCCTGTCCCCGTATGTGGCAGTAGCTAATATCGGCAGATCTCTTGAGTTTAAATTTGAGTTTCCTGCTCCCGTGTCAATATCAAAGCACAAGGTCAGAATCGCCAGAAAATCATCCTACATTGAAATTGAAAGTCGCTTCCTTGACCCCGTGGAGGAGGATGTTCCAGTTTTCTTGTTCCCGTGCTTTCTCTCACAAACTCCACCAAACATCGTGTCTTGGTCGTCAATGCGTGTTAATCTCGACGTTATGCCTTCGATAGATTTAGACAACGGGCAAGAATTGACGTGGCTCAATGACTATTTGGGGCAAATGTTCTCCAGAGAAGAGTACCAGAACTTCTTGTCGCGTACAGATGATTTACGTGTCAGCATCAAAGAAAGCATAATGCAATTTTTCATGGGGTTCGCAGGACTTTACTTACGTAGAGACAACTTCGTTTGCCTCGAGGGCATGGACCAAAGCCGGAAGGCTCTTATACTGCCATCATGTCTCCGCCTAGACTTGGCCAGCTATTCTGTTGTACTTGACAGTGCGTTAATTCCTCTCACAAATACTGTTATGAGTGACAAGGTTGTAACTCGATTTCTAAAAAAACTGTATGACAATGATGTTGTCCGAAAAGTCCCTGTCAACGATTCTGTTAATCGTGCGTGGAAGGCAATGATGCCTGCAATGGTTGAGCGTTGTCGCACGTGGAATCACACATCAGGATGTGATTACAAGAAGATCGGCGAGGTACCCCTTCCACAAGGCCTTGATAGAGATGGTGAATCCTCAATCTGTACCTGTGGTGTTGGGAAGTTTCCGAAAGGCTATTTGAAAGATCTGATCAAGGAGTTCTCAGCCGTGAACCACTTACTTCGTCAATATGCAACTCGAGTGGCTATTTCACCTTTCTTTGCTGTTACTTATGTCGATAACTGCGATCTTACAGATTTCATTAACGTGGTGTGCTCCAAATGTGGCGACGAAAAACGGAAAAACCCAACCGCAAAGCAGCAGAGTTTGCTTAAGTGCTCAAGATGCAAAACTGTTCAGTACTGCTCAGTTGACTGTCAAAAAGCAGACTGGAAACAACATAAAGTATTTTGCAAGGCTATGCAGGACTGTGTGCCATGAAGAGTCGTCAATTGAAATATGGAAGGTTGCGCAGGCTCCTGTCTTTTACGAGACGGTTTTAAGTTGTCTTGTTCTTCTTTTCCTTCCCAAAATAAAAGCAAGGGAGTTTGAATATTTCCCTCTTAATATTTTTTGAGGCCTCAGCCAAATTCCTCACTCAAAATATCAATTTTATACTGAAATTCAGCAATCTTATACTTACTTTACTTATTCCTCTTAACATGTTAGTGCATGTCAGTATTTTTCTTTCTTGCAGTCAATGTTTTTGTTGCTACAGAAGTGGCAAAGAAATTTGTATACTTTCAATGTGTCTCTCTCAGCTTTTTTCAACATATTTCTGTATTACCATCGTGTTTTCTTAACTCAAAATAATTGAATACTTACTGCATTTTCTAATATTGTAATCCTGATCCGATTATCCTGTTTGATATGTTCCAAGGAGATAAGCCTCATAGCAGCTTTGAAGAAGCATATCCGATCAATTTTGTCTCCATTTTTAAAGCGCAAAAAATAAATGCCCGTTTCCGTTTTCCAAAAAATATCTTGCCGAAGTCTTTTGTCCCGTAGAGAAATTTGGAATCCAAAAACAGAAATGCTTTTTCAAATTTATGTCAAATCTTATCGGAAAAAACTGAAAAAACAGCGCTTCTTGAGAATCTCTGACTTAAATATTTTTTTATCTAGCTTGTTACCAAGTTGAAAGTACAGTGGTTAAAACGCTTCTTAACGATCTTATATATTGGTTGAATAATGCTCGTAATTGTAAAAGAATTTAAAACAGTACTTACTTCATCAAGAAACTAATGATTTCATGTGCAGCTGTAATTCCACCATTATTTTGACTGATATAATTTTCTCAAAAATTGACAATCATAGTGTAACATTTTTTGTATCCTTACTAATATTTTTTACCTACAATACTCATTACTTCAGTACTTACTTCTTCAAGAAACTAATGATTTCATGTGCAGCTGTCATTCCACCATAATTTTGACTGATGTAATTTTCTTCACCATTGATGATCATAGTGTAGCAGTTTTTGTATCCTTATTAATATTTTTTACCTACAATACTCATTACTTCATCGAATGTGATAAGCATCATTTTTTTTTTACCTGTTGTGCCTTTAGATTGGTAATTGCAAAATGTGTTTCGTGATTTACCTTTAAGTATTAATGCCATAATAATTGTTCTTAGGTTTATTGTTACTATGTACAAGCTACTATTCTTAAATTTTAATAATTACATGTTTCTAATTTCAAGTTTATTCTTTTGGTTTCATTTGTCAGAAAAATTGTTCACGGAAAAATATCATTTTCAAAAATTTAAAATTTTATTGCCTTGAATGAGTAGTTTTTCTTGGGGGAGGGCGGGGCGTTAATTACAGCCTAAGCAGAATAATGAGGTGATTTTCTCTACGCTACAACGGCATACAAAAAGCGCATACCTTGGTGAGGAAATTGATTCACAAAACGCAGGGCTGAACATGTGACATTCATTTTTGTGAGGATATAATGTTCTTTTTCTTTTGAAATGGGCCAAGGGCTTTAAAAAATTGAGTGAAATAAAAATTTATGAATCAATCTGGAGTCTATATCAAGAATTCGTGAAAGTCCTGCAAATCCTATGCACATAGTTCTTTTTAGCATAAATACGTTCTTATGTTCAACTGATAGCAGCAAAGCGGAATATTTTGCAACAGAGAAAGCTCTATCTTTTTTCTCAAAATATTTTTAGCAAGTAGTGTGGTAAAAAAGCTATTGAGTATTCTCACAATAGATTAGTACTTTCAAAATTCTTTGAATCTTGTATGTAAATTTTACCTACTTTTTATGTGAAATTTACTAAACCACTAAACCTCTGTCAGGGCTCTTTTTCTGTGCCCAGAGGTAAAAAAATCGAATTTAGTAAAATAATTATCATTTATATGTATCCAGCGTTTATATATATTTATATCCACATCTCCTACATAATCATAGTAAAATGAGCTGAATTCAGCCATAGACAGGAACTGAGTGATAAGTTGGTCCCTTTCGGATCGCTCAAGAGTAACATTCAATTTCTAAAAAAAAAAACTATTGCAACCTTACTAACACACTCTCTCATGGAGAGCCCTGCTGACCAAAGAACTAGCACAACTCTCGTTTTCAAAAACACTCAGTTCTCCTTCACTAAACACTGTCATTGCATTGTATGGTTGTGTCAATCTTTTTGGACTATTCTTGACCAGTTTCTGACTGTTTCTCGGCTCAGGAAGCCTCGCCGAGAGTCACGACAGTGCGGAATTGATTCTAAGCCTCCAACTACGTAGGATGCGGCTGATATCTCGAAATTTTTTCTCAGTCCAAAATCGAGGAAAATCGACAAGGATTACTTGGACTAAATTTTTATGGTCGAAATCGAAATTTCGCCGAACGGGCCGAAACCAAGCTAGTCCGCTTGGTAATGACCCGCTGAGTGCGATTTTGCAGTCGGAAAAGCTCCGCGAGTCCCTCGCTTCGAGCTATCCGCGGAAGACGATCCAAAGAAAAACTCAAAAAGTGGCCAGAAACACTCGTTTTTGACCAGTTTGCTCAAGTCAACGAGACGCCTTCAAATGGCCGGGTATGCAAAATGACTGTCGTGACGCACGAATAGTGGTATCAGAATTTTACGTTAAGTTTACGGATTGAATTGAAGGCGCTCTTCTGTATCCACTATGAGTGGCCTTGTACAATGATGTTGACCAAAAAGTTCATAATTTTGGGTGTTTAAATCTAGATGCATATTGGGAAAATGCCGAGGAATATTATTTTGAAATAATATTAAGATTGTTTTTGGTATCTACGTCCTTTTTAAATGCAGAGAGCGCAGGCGGCTGGATCAGATTGTGTATTTTAAGTCCCTTGGTTCGGTCATCGTATTCTGAAGTGAAACTGAAAGAGTCGCCGTTTACAAGATCGCAACTCACTCAAAATCGGTCGTGAATTTAAATAGTTTCGCACGGATAAAATGAGTTTTCTTTGATTAACTGTGAATAACTGAATAATCATAATATTGAAGAAAAAGTACTTTGTCCACTGGTCCATTAGGAAAGCGTAAAGCATGGATTAATGGAGCATCGATGACCAACTAAATCTTATCTGATAAGGAAATTTAAGTGTGAAACCCTTTTTTTCCGTCTTTAAATGATCCAAATCCACCAACAAGTTTAAAACACTAAGTGCAAAAATGCGAATCTACTCGTGAAGGGTCGATTCTTAGTGCCAAAAACGCGAATCTCGGCATTTCTGCCGTATTTTCTAACAGTTCGAGAAATTATTGAAACTGCTGATGGAGTTTGAAAAAATATCTTATTTTTGCCATCCTCAAGAATTATTAATAATAAGGGTAAAAGGTTAATCCCTTCTACCGACAATAAAGAGGAATGCAGACAGTTTTTTTACTCTCCTGGAAAATCGTGTTTTCCGAGATTTGCACTTCTGCACTTTCACCATCTATAAAGTGCTTTAGTATCGTTTAATTAACATTTCCACAGGCAGTGATTATGATTGTTCAGTCAGTAATTTTTTTTCTCATTAATTTCTTCACAAAAATTCTCAGGTATATATGTTGCAGGCAATTAGCAATCGCCGGCAAATTGCAATCCATTCGTGTTTAATCAACAAATTTAATCGTTTTAAAGTGAAAAAACGAGATTGGAAGTAGGGATTATTATGCTTTGAATTCAAACAGCCCCCTTTTCTAGCCCCTTCTTCTTGGATACATGGTGTAAGCTAGCACACTCGCGAGTTCGTGAAATGCCATCAATAATCTGTGTTAGGTTCGGTTAAGCAACTAAACTAACTCCTTGGCAAAGCGGAGAGTATCGCTGGATTTGAAGGCGTAAAGAAATCTTTACTATATCGATGTTATGGTAATTACAATTTGACGAATTGACAAGTACGGAGCTTGCAAATTGCCGGCGATTGCTGACTCCCTGCGACTTATACACTGATAAATATTTCAGAGATAACAAGGCGCATACAGGCAGTTTTTAAAAAAATTGAGATAGTTTTAATTTCCAGTAAAACTAGTCTTGATGCATATTCTGTGAAAAATTTGCTCCCAAATTCCAAATTTTAAGCATCAAAATGTCAGTTTGAACTTTTATTCCGTCATAAGGATCAACGTATAATTTCGAAACTTCAAACACGTATTTCTCGAAATAGCAGAAACTGCACTTGTGTGCCATGTGCGCCTTGTCCTCCAAGCCTATCAATTATCTCGTGACGTTGACTCCTTTGGATCTGAGCTCGCATGGAATTGACCCGCTGTGTTCGATTTTCGAGTTGGAAAAGCTCCGCGAGTCCCTCGCTTCGAGCTATCCGCTGAAAACGCTCCAGAGAAACAGGCAAAAAGTGGTCAGAAAAGCTCCTTTTTGACCAGCTTTTGACTGTTTCTCGACTCAGGAAGCCTCGCCGAGTGTCGGGAGCGTGCGGAACCGATTCTACGCCACCGACTATATAGGATGCGACTGAAATCTTGAAATTTTTTTCTCTGTCCCAAATCGAGAAAAATTGACAGGGGTTACATGGACTAAATTATTAGCGTCAAAATCGATAGTTCGCCGATCGGTTCGGAACCAAGTAAGCTCCTTGGAATTGACCCGCTGAGTGGGATTTTCCAGTCGGGAAAGCTCCTCGAGTCCCTCGCTACGAGTTATCCGCTGAAAACGCTCCGAAAAAAGAGACAAAAAGTGGTCAGAAAAGCTACTTTTGGACCAATTTTTGACTGATTCTTAGCTCAGGGAGCCTCGCCAAGTGTCGGGACCGTGCGGAATCGATTCTTCGCCTTCAACTACGTAGGATGCGACTGAAATCTCGAAATTTTTTTCTCAGTCCAAAATCGAGAAAAATCGACAGGGGTTACATGGACTAAATTTTTAGCGTCAAAATCTAAAGTTCGCTGATCGGGCCGAAACCACGTAAGCTCGCTTGGAATTGACCCGCCGAGTGCGATTTTTCAGTCGGAATAGCTCCGCAAGTCCCTTGCTTCGAGCTAGTCGCTGAAAACGCTCTAGAGAAAGAGTCAAAAAGTGGTCAGAAAAGCTCGTTTTTGACCAGTTTTTTACTGTTTCTAGAGAGAGTCAAAAAGTGGTCAGAAAAGCTCGTTTTTGACCAGTTTTTTACTGTTTCTCGGCGTAGGAAGCCTCTCCGAGAGTCGGGACCGTGCGGAATCGATTCTACGCTTCCAGCAACGTAGGATGCGACTGAAATCTCGAATATTTTTCTTCGTCCCAAATCGAGGAAAATCGACACGGATAACATGGACTAAATTTTTCGGGTCAAAATGGAAATTTCGCCGATAGGGTCGGAACCAAGTAAGCTCGCCTGGAATTGACCCTTGACCGATTTCTGTATCGAA